TAACACGTACACCATTCCCACTGCTTTAATGCACACACCAATTCAGTAAAGCATACTAAACTGAATTGCTCTTATACATACATGTTCCCCTCAAATATTGTGCTTCACAGTTGTCTACATTTGGGCTGAACACTGGTTTTTATTCATGTATAATACAAGTGTATCATGGGGAGCAGTGTAGTGAACATAGTAGTACATTGTCATCATTGAATGGTTCCTATAGAAGAGACAGAAACAAAAGGGCTTTGGAGAGAAATATGCAGACATCCAGAAATGCCCAGCATGGATTGATGATTTCGTACTATATGGCTGTCTTCCTACCATTCGGAAAGGTTTTTAAAGACGTGGATGTTTGCTTTCAAATTATTAGATGCCCTATTAAATATATGTGGAACCTGGTTGCTTAAAATCAATGTCATGACAGATAGATAGATGGATGGACAGACAGACAGGCATATCTTGTTTTACATCTGGTGAGAAGAAAGGATTAGGGGACGTGAAGTCAGACCTGGGATTGTGACTCTGCAGACAAGTCAACAAGTCAACAATAGATGGGTCAAGACAAGAGAGAATGTATCCTAATTAGGTCTCTCAATTTTGCTACACTTTGTGGGCACATTGTTGCATTTGCAAAGATAGTCTGCAACATGTCTTATGAATTTTGAAATTCTCCTTTGGCTTATTTTAAAGCTGTTTTATGATACTGATTCAATTGAACCTATTTTGAAAATATTTTAGCATATTAACATTTTATCTTGTATATTGTCTAGAGGAGATTTCACCTTGGAAAGCAGCATAAATATTTCAAAATTCATAAATATGAGAAGGTGGGTGGGTTTCTACAGTCTAATCATGTGTGTGTTGTTTGTATGTATAGCTGTATACAAGTCATCAATTGACTCAAATTTGATAGGGCAAGAAGTATGCTGGGGGGGGGGGTGTTACCATTTGCTTCCTCTGCAATATAATAATAATAATAATAATAATAATAATAATAATAATAATAATTTCTATTTATTTGTATTCCACCACCAACTCCCCAAAGGGACTCAGGGAGGCTCTCAAAAACACTCCAAGTGTCACGTGCAGACAACAGTAGGTAAAGATAAAGGTTTTTCCCTGGCATTAAGTCCAGTCGTGTCTGACTCTGGGGCATGGAGCTCATCTCCATTTCTAAGCCAAAGAGCCAGCGTTGTCTATAGACACCTCCAAAGTCATGTGGCTAGCATGACTGCATGGAGCACAGTCATGCTGGCTGGAGCAATACCTATTGATCTACTCACATTTGCATGTTTTCAAACTGCTGGGTTGGCAGAAGTTTGGGCTGACAGCGGGATCTCACGCTGCTCCCTGGATTCGAACCTGCGACCTTTCGGTCAACAAGTTTAGCAGTTTAGCGATTTAACCCACTGCACCACCGGGGGCTCCAACAATACATAAGTATAAATACAATGACATAATTATAACCAACAGTGCATAAATATCTAATTGATAAAATTATAAAAAAATGAAAATTATCAAATTCCTAAAACGCAGTGGAACCTGCAAGCTGGCAAAGTGAAGGCCAGTACTATCAATGATTCATCACATTGGCCATGGATTAGGAGCAAAGGCCTGTCTGAAGAGCCATGTTTTTAGACTCATCTAAAATGCCTGAAGAGAAGGGGCTAATCTAATTTCTTTAGGGAGGGCATTCCAGAGGCCGGGAGCCACCACCGAGAAGGCTCTCTCTCTTATCCCCACCAACCATGTTTGAGGTGGTGGTGGGACCAAAAGAAGGGTCTCTCCAGCATATCTTATTGCCTGTGCCAGTTCGTAGAAGGAGATGCTTACAACACCTAGTATTCTTTGGCAGTCCCCATCCATGCACTAATCAGGTCTGATCCTGCTTAGCTTCCAAGATCAGGTGAGACCTAGGTCCCATCTATACTGTCATATAATGCAGTCTTACTGCATCCAATTGTATGGTATAAATCTATACCGCATTATATGCCAGTGTAGATGGGACCTTAGTGCCCTCAGTGTATTTCCTTCTGTACAAGGTAGTGCGCTCAGCATTCTTGTTGACCTGCTTTTTAAAATGTGGTGCAATTTCAGGCCTTAACTTTGAGCTTCAAAACAACCCTTGGACTCTTCCAAATATGGTTCCAGCACTTTTAAGCTCATATTTGCATATAAACTCTCTGGGTTTTCAGAAGTTTAGTAAGTGTATCTGTCCTTGCTCACCTTTTGCAACTGGGGCCAACCCTGCTGAAACATGCAAGCTTATGAGACTGAATTTAGAGATTGTCTTGTTGGGGTCATGGCATCATTTGGGATGTCAGGAGTTAATTAAACAAGCTGCATAAGACAATTACTCAAAAGATGATTCTGATTTTAGTTATAAACTTGTGTTTTCCATCTTATATTAAGCAAATTACTGTCCAAAACGAACTCAGTGGCTGATTATATTTTAACCACTGTGCTAACCAAAGGACCCCAACTCTGTTGTATCTCAAATAAACATCCTCCTTTAGGCAAGCCTCTGAGGATATCAAACAAAAGAAAGCAAACATGACTAAATCAACATTGTTCCAATGAAGAGATAAGTTTTAGACAAGATACATGGCCAGTGACTAAAAGAAAGCAAACAAGCAAGCAAGCAAGATTCCCTTCCTGTTTACCAGTCAAAGCCATCTTCGTTATTAAGAACAATCAGTATTGGAACAGCTCTAGGCAAAAATGAGCACAATTATATGTCAATATGCAAGCAAGAAGGTTAGGAAATGTTAGCAGTCATTCGGATTACATCCACCCAGAGATTGGGAAAGGGTTTGTTTTTTTGTTGTTGTTTACAAGTCCAAGAATCCCACAACCAGCGTGGCCACTGAAGCTATATGTGGAAAAATGAAACTTTTCCAAATGCTGTCTTCAGTATTACAAGACCATTATGGGAGTGTGAAGAGACCCAGTATAATATTATTGAGAAGACATACATATCTATTCAGAAGGAAGTAGAATGATAGAATCCTAGAGTTGGAAGAGACCTCGTGGGCCATCCAGTCCAACCCCCTGCCAAGAAGCAGGAATATTGCATTCAAAGCACCACCGATAGATAGCCATTCAGCCTCTGTTTAAAAGCCTCCAAAGAAGGATCCTCTACCACACTTCAGAGCAGAGAGTTCCACTGCTGAACGGCTCTCACAGTCAGGAAGTTCTTCCTAATGCTCAGATAGAATCTCTTTTCCTGTTGTTCGAAGACATTGTTCCATGTCCTAGTCTCCAGGGCAGCAGAAAACAAGATTGCTCCCTCCTCCCTATGACTTCTCCTCACACATTTATACATGACTCTCATCATGTCTCCTCTCAGCCATCTCTTCTGCAGGCTAAGCACACCCAACTCTTAAAGCCACCTCATAGAGCTTGTTCTCCAGACCCTTGATCATTTTAGTTGCCCTCCTCTAGACACATTTCAGCTTTTCAATGTCTCCCTTCAATTGTGGTGCTCAGAATGGGACACAGTATTCCCGGTGTGGTCTGACCAAGGCAGAATAGAGAGGTAGCATGACTTTCCTGGTTCTAGACCCTATACTCCTATTGATACAGGCCAAAATCTCATTGGATCTTTTAGCTGCCACTTAACATTCCTGGCTCATGTTGAACTTGTTGTCCATGAGGACTCCAAGATCTTTTTCACATGTACTGCTCTTGAGCCATGCGTCTCCCATTCTGTATCTTTGTATTTCATTTTTTCTGTCTAAGTGGAGTATCTTGCATTTGTCACTGTTGAATTTTATTTTGTTAGTTTTGGCCCATCTCTCTAATCTTTTAAGATCATTTTGAATTCTGTTCCTATCTTCTGAAGTATTGGCCATCCCTCTCAATTTGGTGTCATCTGCAAACTTGATGTTCATGCATTCTAAGTGCCACATTAATGTTTTTGGAAATTTCATGTGTGAAATCAAAAATATTTGAAATATCACTGATTTTCAGCAGTGTGACTGTACCTAATGTCCAAATATTACACATTACCTAATTTCTGAGGACTTGCAAACAGAGCTTTAAACCCTAGTAAAGCTTCAGTGCCTTTTATTTGTACCTCTAGTGTACTGATAGCCTTACATTTGTTGCTGATATTCATGAGTGTCTGATTCATATATTGGATTAAATTTTTCCTCCCTTTTCCATAAATCCACCCAAATGAATTGGATGTTAGTCACAGGTAATGGGAATCCCATTGATTTTATGAATTCACTCCATTAAGTTTGTTCATGTCAGCAGAATGCTGGATATGGCTGTGACTAAACAAGAAATGAATTGTTCACAGTTTCAATATGAAGTAACCATTCAAAAGATCCCTCACCCTCCATTGATACACCATTGGCACATCATTATTAGGTCATACTAGAGTATGACCTAATAGAGTGGCAGGCAAGCAGCTGTGTACCAAAAAGATGAAGCTTGTCATTTTCAAATGCACAAAACTAATTAATTTCACACCAAAATAACTACAAGTCAGCCCATGTCTGCCACATGTTGAAAACATTGTAAGGACAAAATCTAGCTGAATAAAGCTTTTAGCCACTGAATTTACACAAAAGCTACCAAAGTTGTGATGGTGAATATAGTGACGGCCCACAGGGCTATTCCAACCTTTACCAGGCCAAAATAAGAGTGGGAATCTTCCTGGCATGAGTATCTTACACTGGACCTCCCCCCTTCCCCAATTAAGCGTTCCTCTATAATCTCCGTCACTGTAATTAAAAAAACAAGGACTTGCATGTTGCCTACCTAAGAATTCAAGGAAAATCAACAACTTCAGCGCAAAACTCTTGCATATATCATGAAATGTGTTCCACCTTTCCCCAACATCTAATCGAATATTGAAATGTTATGTTGTAAGATGAATTCAAGGTAATATTTGAACATCCAGACCAGACAAGAGAGGCCCAGAGCACTGAGAGAATGTTTAACTCAGTTGGCTATCTCGTTTGCTTGATGCTTGTCTAAATCTAAGGTGAGTCAATAAAACTTTGTTCACTGAAACACAGAGCTTTCACCACACAAGCTGCCTATCCCAAAATGGGATCTTACAAAGATATCTTTCTGTTACTTTTATTTCTTGGCACAGGTAAGGCTGTTTTCATATCTTTAAAAATTAGGACAAAGGACTATGTTTTTAGAAATGGGTTGTCATTTTCTATTTTTCCTGGATTTCTCATTTATCTCTGAAATGGTCTGAGACCAAGTAAAACCTGATAATTTCTTAACTTGCTTGCTAAATACTAGATAGCTAGAACTCAAAACTATTTATATATATAATGGTATAATATTATTTGATTTTTCCAAATGCTCTGCAATTTCAGGAATTGTATTCAAAGGGTTAGTTTGGGAGTTCTGTGCCCATATAGAGATCTAAATCCCATTGCTACTCTTGTCTAGAGTAGGCACAGTGAATCAATGATATTTACCTAGAAGCTGATGCACCATTAAATAATTGGATCTACTCTACTTGAGATTCAAATAGGATTCATATCTTAATGTTTGTGTTTAGTGATATGATCCACATAAGGATATGTCTCCCCAATGTGCTGTGGTATGTTGTACAGAAATGGATGAATATTTGGTTCCTGTACTGCATTTTAAAATGTATTATCAACTCCATTATACCCCTAAAGGAGACACTAAGGATTTATATTTTTATTAACTTTTTATGAACTCATATTTTATATGCTAATGCTTTTAATTGTATTTTATATGTTGGGGGGCATCAAATTGTGCCAAATGTAAACCGCCTTGAGTTGCCTTCGAGCTGAGAAAGGCGGTATATAAATACAGTAAATAAATAAATGTTTCTTCAAGCAGTTGATGGGGCCATTTATGCTTATATTTGACTGTAGCACTATTCACCAAACAGTGTTATTTTCCTGTTTTAGTGACCGTTAGAGATGGTGGCATGCTAGATATGCATCAGATTATTGTTGTTGTTGTAGAGCTTCAAAAGTGTTTAGTTTCCACCAAAGGACAAGTAAGAGCTTCTTGTATACAGAATGTCAGTGGAGTAACTTTGGAGCAGCTATCATAATGACTATAAGAGTTTTGTTTCCCTATACTCTGTCAGGAAACAGGTGGTCCTTCCCACACATCATAGTTTTCAGTTTGCCAACAGTAATGTTCCCTATTCTTTTTTACAAGTTCTAATTGCAAATCTTAGATGATCAAAGATCTCTCAGCCTTGACCTATGTCAGCCCTATGATGCCTCAGGGATACTTTTACTAAGAGTCCTGTTCAGGTCTCACAAACTTGGGTCTCTCTGTATGTATGTGCCTTCAAGTCACTGTCAACTTATGGTGATCCCATGCATTTTATAGACTTTTCTTATGCAAGGGATATTCAATAGTGGGTTGTTTTTTTTACAGTTCTTTCTTCAGAATTAGAGTCTACAACACCTGGTATGTTTTGGTAGACTCTCGTCCAAGGACTAACCACAGCTGACCATGATTCATTTCCAAAATCAGACAGGCTTTCAAGCCTTTAGGGTATTTAAGAGCCTATGGAATCCTACAGCAATGCGGTCTTTCTCTTCTTCTATTATGTTCCATTTTTCAACCATTATCCTGTGACTCATGTCATCTTGAGTTAGGTCCAAAGCACTATACAGCAGTCCCTAAGTTGTGAACAAGATAGGTTTTGTAAGTTTGTTCTTGAGTTGAATGGCAGGGGGTTGGATTAGATGGCCCATGTGGTCTCTTCCAACTCTATGATGTTATGTTGTCTCACCCCAATTCTTAACTATGAGTCATTTCAAGTTGGATGTTTGTAACTTGGGAACTGCCTGTCATCTCAGTTCAATCATTGAGGCTTATAGTGAGAGTTCAGGCTTCATTCATATCCTCTGGGTGATGGTTGCCAGTCAAATTCTAGCTGGTTGCAGTAAATGCCTCCCAGAGCACCTGAGTATATGGGGCGGATTGTATGGGAGAAGGTGATCCTATAAGTAACAACCAAATTTGCATAAACTGATGTGGGATGTGTTTGGCATACCAAAACCAAAAGCCATACAGACATAAAAGATTTTAAGGCAACAGAACACAACTTTATGTCATTACAGTTTAAGAGTTGGCTCACACATTATTCTGGATCCAGGCATTGGCCAGTTGATCAATGAGCCTACAGATCCAACCTAGGGCCAGATCTCTCAGGGATGGTGTGATTGTCACCATCTGTGCTGGCCCCTGCCTTGATCTCTTAGCCCCTGAGGAGTGTGGAAAACATCCACCCACTGCTGGACAAGACCAAATATGTATCACACCTCTTGCGTTCCATCACTGAGGCCACCTTTAGACACATGCCTGCTGTACACTGGTAACACTATCCTACGACCCATGTAGTCATACTAGGCAGTATGGATGAGATGAAGTTCAGAGTGAATTGCTCAGAGCTCTCTCTGATAGATACTTAAATATTGTTCTACTGGACTGGAATCAAAACCCCTGTCTCCTATTAGCCCATTGGCTGGCACCAAGACCAGTCATCATCCCTGCACCAGCCATGAGGAGTTGACCACTGATGGCACAGCTGCTGTCATGTCTCATTTCCACTACCATCCTGCAAATGAGTGCCTGGTAAGCAGGGCATCACATTATCTAAAGTCAGTTTATGATCCTGAGACTTTTATCATTGAACAGATAGAGCACAGGGCACAACTTGGGAAAGTTATTTTTCGCACAATGCCTTGGCTAGAATGGCAGCTGTCTATGGAAATTCTAGGGGTTATACTTCAAAAATTGATGGGAAGGTATTTCATATATATCTTTGCATGCAGTGTATCCAAGGTGGAAAGGGATGATGATGATGACAACACCACAAATACAATTCTTGAAGATGTTTTAGACTTATTTAGTTGTTTGACTTATATACTTATTATTAAACACAATCTCATTTACTATGTGTTGTTTAATCTTATGTCTTTTACTTCATTGCATCCTTGTGCCATTTATTATTTTATACTGTTCTAAGATGGAATATCTGAAAGGAAGTTTGGCTCAATTCTATCATTGGTGGGGTTCAGAATGCTCTTTGATTGTAGGTGAAATATAAATCCCAGCAACTACAACTTTCAAGATCTATTTTTCCCAAACTCCACCAGTGTTCACATTTGGGCATATTGAGTATTCATGCCAGGTTTGGTACAGATGTAATCATTGTTTGAGTCCACAGTGCTCTCTACATCTCTGGATGTAGGTGAACTACAACTCCAAAACTCAACGTCAATGCTCACCAAACCCTTCCAGTATTTTCTATTGGTCATTGGAGTTCTGTGTGCTAAGTTTGATTCAATTACATCATTGGTGGAGTTCAGAATCCTCTTTGATTGTAGGTTAACTATAAATCCCAGCAACTGCAACTCGTAAATGACAAAATCAGTCTCCCCACCCACAACCCCACCAGTATTCATATTTGGGCATATTAGGTATTTGTGCCAAATTTTGTCCAGTTAATGAAAGTACATGGTAATTAGGGACCTCATCACGTTAGCAAATGAATCCATTTTAAATCCAGTTGCCGCCTCCTGCAGAATTCTGAGGTTTGTAGTTTAGGGAGGAGCCTTTAACAGCCTCACTAAACTACAAACTCCAGAATTCTACAGGAGGCCAGATTTAAAGTGGATTCATTCTTTAGAGTAATGAAGTAGTTTGTAAAGTCAAGTTTCCTCTCAAGCGATGTCTGGTGTGAGAACGACTGCTTGGGTCTACTCTAGAGTAGCTGGATCGGCGGAGAAAAGTCACGTATCCCATAAGCTTTTTTCCAAAGCTTTTTCTTTTAAAAATGTAGTGGGCAGGAACGACACTCACTTATGGGATAACTCTGAAAACTGATAATTCTGGTGAAACTGGCAAGAAAGGACAATGTGTGAAGAGGAATGGGGAATAGAAGTATGTTCTTGATAATTCGATGGGATATAATGCCACAGTAATATGATGCTTTCCTCCCACCCACGTGGGATAATGTCCTTTCGCTTGGTGGGTCAAGGCTGAGAACAGACCACAAGACAATACTTCTATCTGAGCAATTCTTATTTTTTGTCAACAGTTTAGGTTTCATAGCCTTTGGAATGTGAACAGAGGCACTAGTGCCTTTAACTTAAGCAACCCAGCTACTTTGTATGTTTTGCTAAATGTTTAGACCATTTTAAGCAACTTTGTTTTCTGAAGTTCGACTCATAAGAAGAATGGAACCCAACAGGAAATGATTTGATAACATTTACCTTTATCAGCTTAGGCCTGAACAATTTGCTATGGCCAAAGTAATAAATGTCAGCTCTGCTGTTTCTATCAACTTTCCTCCTTTTGTGGAATATGAACCAGGAAAGCCATATGGTACTCCAGTGGGGGTAAAATGTAATTATAAACTAATATAGGATTTCCAGTCTCTTTAATGAAATCCTAAAGCTGATGGTGGTGCTGGAAAAATGGAGAGCACAAAGTGGTTAGGTGGACTCTTTCCCTGCCTACCATAAATGGCAGGCTATACATGATGGGTTCTTGACTTTGTATCATACAACACTTTCTAGAGTTTTCTTGGGGTTTCCTTACACTCATACTGTACATATGTTTTTAAAAGTGATGGAAATATGCAAAAGAGTTTACATACATTTTGTACCTATGCACTGGAAAGCTGTTTAATCAGAATGCAGCACCGGGACTGTGGTGCAGCTGGCTGGGAGTCAGCTGCATTAAACTGACCTAAAGGTCATAAGATCGAAGCCAGCCCGGGTCGAAGTGAGCTTCTGACCATCTGTGTAGCTTGCTGTCGACCTTTGCAGCCTGAAAGACAGTTGCATCTGTCAAGTACCGCTTATGTGGGGAGGCTAATTTAACTAATTTATGATGCCATAAAATCTCCAGCAAGCAAGCAAAAGAATGAGGAAGTACTCCATCAGTGTCACAAATGGACGGTGAAGCGACAGCTCCCCTGGTGGCCAGAATACCCTCATGAAGCTGGAATGTTAAATAGCCTCTGTGTGTATGTCTATATATGTTGTGCGTCTATGGCATTGAATGTTTGCCATGTATATGTACATTGTAATCCACCCTGAGTTCCCTGAGGGGTGAGAAGGGCAGAATATAAATACTGGAAATAAAAAAAATGTGTATGAATAAGATCTGAATAAGGAATGTTTTCAGCCAGGGTTATTGAAAAGTATGCTTTTGTTTTGCAGTATTTTCACTTTTTTAGCCTGACCTTCTTCCATATATATTTTAGTTCAAGGCGATATACTGGATAGTTATGTAAAGACAGATGGTGCTTGGATACTTGGTCAAAATAGAAAGTCCTATCGAACTCTTAATAACGAAGAATGTGCGGCAAAATGTGAAGCTGAAACAACATTTACTTGCAGGTAATTTTTTCGACTGCCTACTATGAAGGATGCCTGGATGTCCTAATAATATATTATATCTCAGGTGTTTCTCAGCCAGGCCACAATCCTGTACACATATAACTGGAAGCCAGCCCCACTGAACACAATAGGATTTACTTTTGAATGAAAGATCTTAAAAGGTCTCTTGTGGTAATTAGCTTTTTTTTAGTATCATGGCTCCCTGTGATTTTCCATTTGGATTAGATTTGTTACTTGCAACATCTGCATTTTTCATTACAAAACTACATGATAAGTATTCCTTATCTGAAATGTTTGGGACCAGAAGTGTTTCGATTTTATATTATCTCATGTTGTTAAAATTTACCTGTTACACTTATTCTGATAAGCCAGTCCTAAATATTCCCCATAACCGCTATCATAGAATCATAAGTTGGAAGAGATCTCATGGACCATCTAGTCCAACCCTTGCCAAGAAGCAGGAAAACCGTATTCAATGCACCCCTGACAGATGGCTGTTTGAAAGCTTCAAAAGAAGGTGCCTCCGCCACACTCCGGGGCAGAGAGTTCCACTGCTGAACAGCCTTCACAGTTAGGAAGTTCTTCCTAATGTTCAGGTGGAATCTCCTTTCCTGTAATTTGAAGCCATTGCTCTGTGTCCTAGTCTCCAGAGCAGCAGGACACTAGGACACAAAAAGTCAATGAGTGATTTTTACTAATTATATTTCACTAATCAGAGCAGACAATTTGTCTATTTCTATGAAATCATTCAGTTTTGACAGCCAGCCTTCCTTTGTCAGCCAAGTTGTGATGCAGGCTCCTTGAGGCTTTTAAACAAAGGCTAAATGGCCATCTGTTGGGGTGTTTCGATTGCGCTTTTCATGCATGGCAGAATAGGGTTGGAATGAATGGCTCTTCCAATTCTGTGATTCTAAGTTATTTCTCCCATCTTTGTGCATTTAACAAAATTACAGCATTAGTTATATATTGAGGCAACCCTTTCATGTTGCCTTTCCATGGATAAAGTACTGGTTTTTCTTGGATACTCACCTTTAACATTCTCTCAGTTAAAGTTTACACTTAGACCCAGAACCTTTTAGCTTTCTCACATTTTCACCACATATGATTGAATAGCCCTTCATTCCGTTCACACTTTCAGCAAACATTTGGAAAACCTTTATACATTCTAGCCAGTTTCCCCAGCATCATATACTCACAGTACATTGTGATCTGCGGGGAAAGAGTGTGTTGTGCAACACTGGACTTCACTCTTAACATAGTGTTTACATTTGATTTATCTGATCTATGATAGTTTTAAGGTACTGATTTGGATTTTATTTGGATCCATACAGATATATTTATGTATACTATAATATTGCAAACTATCTGGTGTGGGCTATAACTCCTAAAAGGTCATGTATAAAATAATTAGTGCTTAGATAAAATTAATACCTTGCCTATCTCTCAACATTTCAACAGATCATTCCTATTCGGTCTCAAAGATCAACAGTGCATTACTTTGGCTGATAATACCAAATCAACAGCTGTGTTCAGAAGGGCAGATGTAGCTCTCTTTGAAAAAAGAAGTAAGTATATAGACTTGAATATTATGTCCTTTGCCACCCCTTGAACAGCACAGTATATTTATAAAGTCTGGTAGGTTACCAGCAGAGGCAGTTTGAAAAGCGAGTTGTTGTTTTGTATCACAGTAGCATTGCTCTTAAGAGAAAAAGCAATCATCAGACCATGCCTGTTAAGGCAATGGTAGTAGTCGTTTCATTCTTGACCTATCATAAATATGGGACAGTCCATTTCCAGATTAAAATGACATAGCAGACATTTATGTATATATGATTTACATTGTGGGATAAATAATATTAGGAAATTCCCTCTGGAACTTTGTGGCAAAAATGCTTATTTTTTTATAGTTAGGAAAACCCTCTCCAGTGCCTAAAATGATCCATAGTCTCCAAGACACAGTAAAAGTCCTCCCCTCACCCTCTGAAGGGTGATTTGGGGTTAACATTAATTTTTGCGTCAGAATGCAATGAGATCTCTTCTGGGGTTAAAGTTTCCACATCAGTGCACTCAGTTTAATACACAAAAGAGACACAGTTCTTTTTGTAAGAAAAGTATCGATAAACCTGTATGTGCATTACAAAGCTGCATGTCTGCTTCTAGACTTACCTTTACTTTATTGAAACAGAGCATAGGGAAGTATACAGTTCCTGGAACCAGCATATTTCCACTGGCTAGTGTCTATCCTGACATCATCATCATCATCATCATCATCATTAATAGCCTTCTCAAGTTCTATGTCTCAGTATTTTGATCCCTGTGAAATCATGTTGGGAATTGTATTACATGTTCTGTCTAGAGCAGTGGTGTTTTTTGTTTTTTTTACCAGGGGCCACTTGACCAGGGACCACTCTCCAACATTAGTACCAAAAGTGTTATGAATCAGTTTTTGTACAACTTTAGTTTTGATGTGGTTATTTGCAGTGCTGATTCAGAAAATTGCATTGGATAGACCACATCAGCTCTATGTATGACATCCAGTAGTCTCCAACTGCTCATCGACAGAAAAGCATATTTAATAAGCCCAAGCACTATAAGAAGGTTTCACAAGAACAGTAACTCTTGTTGCAACAGGGTAGTAACGGTGAGGCTGCGGACACTGGTGGTCCATGGACCACAGGTTGGGAACCACTGGTCTAGAGCAAATGAATTGCATCAGTGGTTGTCCAATGAGTCAGCCTAAAAGCATGTACAATAAATTCAGTGGGTCAATGCTAGTTATGACTAACAAAGAGTTAGGTCTCTGAGTGCTAAATGAAGTCAGTTTTATTGTAGAATGTGAAAGTACTGGTTCATCCAGGCCCATGGGTTACTGTTGAGAAAATGCAATGGCTCTTTTTTCTTTCTTTCTTTCTTTCTTTCTTTCTTTCTTTCTTTCTTTCTTTTCTTTTTCTTTTCTTTTCTTTTCTTTTCTTTTCTTCTTTTTTTTTTGAAATATTGTGCATACCGTAAAACTGTCAATGCACATTGAAACAACTATAGGACTAGCTCATCAGAATGCCTTAAGTGCAAAATATTCTAATTAATGCATTGGTCCTAAAGTAGTAGTCATAGTAGTAGTTGTTATGTTTATTTATACCCCATTTTATCTTCCCCAAAGGGGACTCAAAGCAGCTTAACATAAAAGCATGAGCATGACCATTTCAAATTTACAAATATACAAACATTAAAACAGGATTAAACACAAACAGTGTTGAAACAGTTGAGACTTGGACTGCTCTGAAATAGTGAGCTCGGTTTTCCTTGGGTGGGTAGTGAAGGAATGGTCCAGAAGGGAGCAGATGTCTCCTGTAGGAGGACACTTGGCAATGACTTTCTCATTTGTTCCTTCATATTACTGTTAAGAGTTCAGATTTCAAAGAACATTACAAGTTGGCACCAATTTTAGTAGGCTTTAAGGTAGTATTGGCTATACATAGTGCACATGTAAATGTGTTTTCTGGATTATGGGGCATAATAATTTTAAAGGTCTAATGGATTTCTTATCTTTTGAATAATCCATTATTCAGCAATCTTCTGACATGAAATAGGAATCCCTGTTTTGACACTCCTCCGCACTTACTAAAATGAGACATTGGGTCCTACTTTTGTGCCTCATACACATTCTCTTGTCTTACCAGATAACATTTTAAGTGACATTGTTAATGTGTTTAGTTAAAACAATCTAAAATGGCTTTTTAGTGCATTTTAAAACATATATGCTGGTTATTTACTTCATACCGTCCAAAAGCCCTGATTTGGCAAGTGCCATCCTTATTAATCCTCTATTGTTCAATTTTTTCAGATGCTTAAAAAAAATCCCAGCTTCTCTCTCTCCTCCCACTTTGGTTAGCATATAACCTACATCATACATCTTCAATGCAGGACTGTTCATCAGCATCCACTGCACTGTTGACAATTAATGAATGATAAGCAACCACTTGGCAATGCATTCTATTCCCCCTCGCACACCACAGATAAATAAACAGATAAACAGATAAATATTAATCCAGTTTTATCCTTTCTCCAGTGAAGAGGTACTATCACATATTTCCATCTAAACTGATTTTTCTAAAGTTTTGCAATTGTTGACAAAGGAAAATTCCAGCAATGCATATTTTCTGTGTCAAGAGAGCTCCTTTTCTCTACTAAATGACAATAAAGAGATCCTTGCAGGTTTCTCTAATTATTAATTATAGGAATGTTACATAGAGGAAAACAATGACATCTGGCTGTCTTCTCCCAAAATGCTTCTCCCTTGGTCTTTGAAATAGCCAGTTCAGGTGACTCACCTTTTCTTGGTTCTTCATGTGGATGGGCAGCCCTAGTCATTGATATGGCTGCTTGCATTGGATTGCATCCTGAAATATAAAGATACATAGATATTAATGTAAATTTGTAGCTGCCTCCACCATTAAAAGAGTAATGCACACAGGAATTTCTTCCCATGGACATGCTTTCTTCTTGTTCATTTCATGATGCTTTCCATAGGCTGAACCAGTGACAACTGGTAAATTCCCTGTCAGGTTTGCAGTTTTTTTTTCTGTATCAGGAGTAACTTGAGAAACTGCAAATCACTTCTGGTGTGAGAGAATTGGCTCTCTGCAAGGACATTGCCCAGGAGATGACCAGATGTTTTACCATCCTATGGGAGGTTTCTCTCATGTCCCCACATGAGAAGCTGGAGCTGACAGACGGGTGCTCACCCCACTCCCCGGATTTGAACCGCCAACATTTCAGTCAGCAGTCCTCCTAGCACAAGGTTTTAACCCACTGCACCACCATTAGAGTGACTTCACTCTAACAGATTTCACAGGGTAATGCCGCTGTGAAATCTGAAATAAATGTCAGTAAGGATTCCTTGCACCCCTCAGATAGGAGCCTGTTACTGCAAATTCATTTACACCAGTGACACCTGGATGTTGTTGAGTTCTACTCCTCAGCAGTCTGGCCAACTAAAGGAGATGCTACAGATAGCAGGTCATCAGTATACAGAGTGAGACACTCTATTGTTGGCTGAAGTGAAAGGGTCAGCTACACACATACTGATCTTTGGGTTGGGATGCATTCAGAAATCAGTGCCGATGTATTTTCTTTTTAATGGCTGAAATACATATATAAATAATTTTTCTTTCAGTTTATCTACTTGAATGCAGAAGAGGAAATGGGCATGACTACCGAGGAACAGAATCTAAAACTCAGGGAGGCGTGGCATGCCAGAAATGGGCAGACAAGAATCCTCATGTACCCAAGTATGACATTTTCTCATTGGAGTGAGAGTTACTTCCTGTTTTATGCAGATGTTTGATGTGAACCTGATATTTTGAACATATTTCAGCCAAAATTAGTTACAGCTAAGTCTGCTAATTTCTGTAAACATACTGGTAATAAGTAGACTCTTTGAAGTCTGTGAAAGACAGTTCTGAGTAAGCATGTATAGAGTGGGATCCTCATAAGTGGTTACTCATAAGTAAGCGCCAATGAATTCAATAGAGGAGGAGCCAGCAACATCTTTATTCTGCTTCTCAGCAAAAACAACCACCAGAACAGCTTTTTTGTTTAATCTTTATCAGTAAATCAATTTACATTGCAGAGAATGGAAAAACTAACTTTTGATTTACCATACTTTTACATGAATTGGAAGTATCTCATACACATGCATATTGCAGATGTTAATAGACACATTAGAAAACATGTGTTTAGCTTTCTAACATATTGCAAGAAACATTTGTTCTTCATGTGACGTAGAAAATATGAAATGGCTCTAGACACATAAAAAGAATTCTTTATCACGAATTGTTTGATAATCAATTTAGAGCCATTTAGTTTCTTGGTTTCACTCAATTTGATAATACAGTTTTCTTTAAAGAAGGTTTTGTGCATCACACAAGTGAGTCAGATGACCAGACAGGGTAGCATTTCCGTACTTCCTGATTGCAGTGGCAGACATGGATGAGAAAAGGATTAATCAGAACCTGCACTGTTCCCCTGGCAAGCTCTCCATGACAATAATTTATGACTGCTAGCAAAATTTCAATGAAAGCTAGATTTCTAACCTGCCATTTAGATAGGATGGGCGGGCACCTATTCATGTCTCAACATTTAATTAGTGTCTTTTTTATATTCTACACAAAAAATGTTTTTCATTTTATGAATTAGCATTGTTTATGGCTTTTGCAAATTGCAAGAACACATCGGACCTATTTTGTAAAAACTTTGTGACACATCTGTGACAAAACAGCTATTTTATACCACACCTAGATACTATGCAGGAGAGTAACTGTCTGTTGTGACTCATCTGGAATCATAGAGTGATAGTGTCAATGATGATGGGATTCAGTTTTACAATCAGGTGCAAAGTGATGTCCCTGTAATAGACGATGAAGAACAGGGTGCAGAAGTTCAGTTTCCCACAGCAAGGGATGACGCTGTTTATAGTGAAACTAGCCAGGTGCATGCTGATTCAGGAAGGAAGGACAGTTGTTCTCAGCCAGATAATGAGCAAGAAAGCACTAATGAACAGATTGACCTTGATGATGAAGAAGCTTTAGATCGAGCTGGCCGTTTGGAATGCAAGGTCCGAAGGAGTGTGAGAATTACTAATAAGCAGGAAGCTAAGGGCCAGAGAAATGCCTTCATGCTTTGCAAAGGGTATTAAACAGGCTGTTTGAAAATATCCCAGTGTCAGAGCAACTTCTCGTTTCAGTCAAGAGGCTTACATTTGTTTGCCTGGATTTATCTTGCAGTTTTCATGTTCATGGTTTCAGAACTTTGTCATGTTCTCGTGGAACTTTTCTTTGCTGGTGCCTTCGTGGACCTTGCTTTCAAGTGTTACCTTGTTTTGATCTTTGAAACATTACTTTTGTTTTTATGAACTTTTTATCTTTTACTTTTAATAAAACATAAAGACTACAGGCTGTGTGCTGTTTGGTGTCTTAAGCAAGGTGTTTCTACTCTGAGATGCAACACTGTCATTGGAAGCAAAAGTACACACCTCCCTTTTCCCCATGGTAGTTTCTACTTATGAGCATCAAAAAGTTCCTCTGGTAGGGTGTATTCATACAGCACAATTGTCATGGTTTGATACCACTTTTATTACCATGATAATAACCAATGTAATCCTGGAATTTGTCATTTAGAGCTGTGCTTAGGGATGCCTGGTACACACTCTCAAAAACTACAACAGCTGAAGGTTACCAGCAGACAATTCTATGTACCTCACTGCAGATCCCAGGATACCATAGGATGTGGTTATGGCAGTTAAAGTGGTAGCAAAGTCCTAAAACTGTGTTGTATGAATACACTTCTGGACTGGCTCCCAGACCACCACAGCAAACATGCTGGCCAGGAAATTCTCAGGTCTGGAGTCCAAGAAAGTAACTTTTCCAAGCCATGCAAAACTATGATATGGCCATACTGTGAATTCTTCTGTATATGGAAGAGCCAATTTACTTGAAATACCACACAATAGTAATACTCGTATACCCTCTTTATTCACCCAAACATTTTAGGGCAGTAGTTATTAGGATGGGATTTCTTTTGGAAGGAAGGATCTACTAGCCCTTTGTAACTTGATTTATATGCAAATACTCAAGTAGGTTGGAAACATACTAACAGGATTTCTTTCTACATAAGATGCCCAAAGAGATGGAGGGATCTATATATATCCTTCAAATGTTTTGGCTAATTCTGTTCAAATTGAAATTTAGTCAATGGTTCGCTTCATTTTCACAGAAAAGTACATCAGAATGAGATTTTGATGTGCTAAGTAGTCATTGGGTCAACCTCTGATTGCCATAGAGGTCAATTGTGGCTTAGTATTAAGCCCCCATTGACTTCAACCTACTAGGACTTTTTATTGTTGCTGTTGCTCTGAAGGACTAATAGCAGCTTCAGGAAGCAGCTTCAGGAAGCAATTTCAATTGGGAAGGTTCAACTTCATTGGAAAAGTTCAATGGCAGTTAAATTCAAACTCCCATTGACTGCTTTGAATTAAAGGTGGTCTGAACATGGATCTTCTGGGTGGCATCTAGATTTTAAGCTAACATCTCCCATGTCAATGGAGTAGTGAATCTACACCATGTCTGAGTCATCTTTAAAGTTCAGACTCGATTCACACAATCTCACTGACATTAAAACCACCAGCAACTGTGGTCAGTTTGGCCCTGAGTTCCAGTGGAACCTATTCCATTGTTTTCCATAGAACTTTATTTCACTTACTGTTTGGACTGTGCTGAAAATATGTGTTTATATAGTCTAAATTCATTCAACACCCCTAGAACCATGGGTAACCAATTGTTTTCTTTTTACTAGTTTCTCACCTACAACTCACCCTAATGAATCATTAGAAGAAAACTACTGCAGGAATCCTGATAATGATGAAAATGGTCCCTGGTGCTACACCACAGATCCTGAAAAAAGATATGATTACTGTAGCATCCCCGAATGTGAAGGTAGGTTTGCAAAGCAAAACATTTTATATTTGAAAGGCTATTTTAACTACAGTATATAAGTATCACTTAAGAATGAGGGAATCTGTTTTCTTTACCAGCAATGTGAGTATTATTTACAAAGGCCAAGATTTTGTATCTCACTAGTAGATTATAGTTTTGTCAGGTTTAGTGAAATTTAGTCCTCTCTTCCTGCATGCTCAAATATATCTGCTTATTTGGCTGAGCACCTTTCCCCAGGAGCCCCTGGTGGCACAATGGATCAAACCCTTTTGCCAGCAAGACTGCTGACCAAACGGTCGGTGGTTCAAATCAGGGGAGCGGGGTGAGTTCCTGTCTGTCAGCTCCAGCTTCTCATGTGGGGGCATGAGAGAAGCTTCCCACAGGGTGGTAAAACATCTGGGCGTCCCCTGGGCAGTGTCCTTGCAGATGACCAATTTTCTCACACCAGAAGCAACTGCAGTTTCTCAAGTCACACCTGACATGGAAAAAAACCCCTCTCCCTAAAGCCATTCCTTGGTTAAGGAAGGAAAGGCACACGACCAATACACGCTTGGGCTCTGACACCCCCAGCTCCAAATCCTGACTGTATGGGGGGCAAAAGGATTCTACCACTATAATCCAACTGAATAATCCCACTTACAACCATAACCACAGATTATTACATCATTCTATATCTTACTGCTCAGAAATCCATAAATGGTTTCAAATCTTTCAAAAAGTCTTCAATTGACTTATTCTTTAGAATCCATGTTCTTTATTTATGCTCATCCCATAGATTCTGTCATCTTGTCTGATATTTCTCAATAATGTCTCCAATGTCAAAATTAAAAAAATAAAGGCAAGAGAAGATCCTTTTGTATTTGTATTTTGTTTGATCTCATTACAATTCCATTTGCTAAGATCTGGGACCTTATCTTTACTGCATTAACAATATTTTTGTTAAAATCAATTTTCTCCAATACTAAGAATAAACAGTTCCTTCCAAAATCAAGTTTTCTCTGCATCTTAAAAAAATCAAAACCACCTTTTTGTTATTGTTATGTGCCAAAGATTCAGTCATATTAAATAATAATACTATACTTTATTTATATTCCGCTCTATCTCACCGAGAGGACACAGGGCAGAGTACAGAACATATATACTACAAACATTCAATGATGTTATACAATTAACAAGGACAGACAATACATAAACAGAAGTATAGGTTTTTCCAACATTTTCCATCTGGAGGCTGTTCTCAACTCCTGCCATAAGGTGGTGCTGTTGTTTATGTTATTTCTTTATTATTTTTGACAGAAAACCGACCTGATCCTCTTGGATGTTCTGAGAAATGTATATTCTTTTTATTTGGCATGCCAAGACAGTAATAAATATAGCATTATTTAGCAGTGAGAATGGTCTATCACTCTTAATAATATCTCATCTGTAGTTTCTTTATGAATTAGTGCAATATGGGTATTTTTTTTAAAAAAAATGGCATCCACCCTTTTCTAATAACTTGTCACACACCATTCACAATGGTTGAAGTAGCTCATCTTTGAATTTCTGGCAGACCTTCTGAGTCTGGTACATTTCCAGATTTATTTTTTCAATTGCTTCAATACATTTCATAGTTGTCTTGGGCTCATTCAAATGTCCCTTTTGTTCCAGACTTGTCCAATAGAAGTTTATCCAAATAGTCTGTCATATCTAAATTTTGCTCATTGACCCTTACAAGTAAGGGTCTGCAACATTTTTAAAGACTTTTAATATTTTCAAGTCATGCGTTTTAAATTGGTATCTCTTCTTGATCTTTCGGGCATGTTCCTTTGTCCTTTCCTGTCTCACTTATAGGAAAGCCACTTCCCAGGTTTATTTGTGAATTCACCTTTTTTTTGCTTATGATACAGTAGTTTAGCATTCATTTCTTGGACTGTAAACAATGAGAACTGCTGTTGAAATAATTTAATTTTAAAAAAATCTTTTTATCAAAATTTGTATTCTGGTTTCCTCCAATTCTCTCTTTTTATCTTCCCCTTTTTTCCAGTATCGAACCATATTTTATAAATTGTCCTGTCATATAACTTTTGCTTGCATTGCAAACTACTATGGGCACTATACTGTCATTTAAGTTCATCACAAAAAATCCTTTGTTGTAATATTGTCATCTTCAGAAATAAATGTTCATTAAGTTTTCATCTGAACTGTGTTTGTTTGATTTTCAAGGACATCATGGTGAGATTATAATCTGTTTTTTTTTGTGGGGTGGGGTGGGGTGGGGGTTAAAGCATCCAATATTTTGTCCATTACTATGTTGGTCATATTACTAGAAATTGAGAACATGTCTTTTCTAGAATAAGATGCATGGCATTCTGAAAAAAACAAACAAACAAACACAGTGTTTAGCTTTTGATTGCAAATGTCTCTATTTGTTAATCCAAATTACTCTAGAAAAAGTATTATGGAAGAACAAAGGAGACTACCTAGAAATAAATAAATATAAAAAGAGAGAGAAAGAGATCTAGGTAAATTCCTTTGGTATTCCATAATACCTTCACTGGAACAGTTACTTTTTTGTGATCAACAATCCTGTTCCAGTTACCCACACAAAATCAGATTTTGTTAATCTAATTCAGATGCCTCTCTTAACAAATTTTCATAAAACATTGATTTCTCATTATTGGGACTACAAACACCTATTAAATGCATTTCCTTTGCATTCCAGTTGATTTCCACCATTATACACCTGCATTTTCCATCTTCAAAAATCAATTAGTTTCTAATAATTTACTTTTTAAAAAATGTCAAGCTCCATTAAGTTCCAATTTTGGGAGGAAAGGGGGGTTATAGATGGTGAATATGACATGTCGTACCCATAAAATAAAGCATAAGTCTAATAGGATGAATCTTTATGAATCAAACAATGTTTACATTTTCAGAGCAATGCATGTACTGCAGTGGAGAAAATTATCAAGGTAAAATTTCCCAAACAGAGTCTGGGCTTCAGTGCCAACCTTGGGCTTCTCAAGAACCTCATGCTCATGGATATATCCCAACAAAGTAAGTCCTCCTAAAACGTGAGTCCATTGGCCATCACCACTAATGAAGATGATGATGATGATATTTCAAATTGTGGCATGATTAGTATGAAGGAAAAAAAATTAAAGGATGGGTTCATTTATGATCACCTGAAACCTTACAGGCAGAAATGTTTATTCTACATCATCAGTGGATATGCTATACACCAGTAAGGTATTCTGCAAAAAAAATAAAATAAAAAAATATCTCATTAAAACGAACAGATCTCTGGTTAAGCAAAATGTGCTGCAGTATGTCATGCAAAAAAAAAAGTTTTTGCAGTTTAATAAACTTTTCCTATGTTTTGTCATAGAACCAATTAGAAAATGCCATTTATAACCTAGGAACAAAAATCATGTTACATAGCATAATCAATAGTGCACACATGCTTTATATATGGAAAATCCTGAATTCATGGAAACTAGTAAAATTGAAATCCTTTGTTTAAAATCTTGGAAATCCAGTGCAAGTCAAGCTAGACAATACTGAAAGAGATGAAAAAGTTCTGTTTGGGTGTAAGGTGGTTACATATGTTCCTTGAAGAGATGCATTCATCAGCATTCAGTCAATAGAAACTTTTGTTTTTCTTATCTAATATTCAGTTTTCCAGAAAAGAATCTGAGGTCAAATTACTGCCGTAATCCTGATGGCGAACCTCGTCCATGGTGTTTCACCACCAATCCAACTAAACGTTGGGAATTTTGTAATATTCCACGCTGCAGTAAGTTTTATTTGGGCTAAGTATGGCAAACTAATTGTAATTCTATAGTAATACAGTATGGCCCCATATCCATGGATTTGATATCCACAGTTTTATTTAGTCATACTCCAAAAATAGTTTGTGGTCCTTTCTAGGTCCTTCAGTGCAATTTTATGGTATGCTAGTCAGCTGAAGTATAGTCAAAATATAGGGTTTGCTGTTATTAACAATTTCACTTATCCCAGGAGTGGGGGGGGGGGCTCCTTGGAATGTATCCCCTGCAGATACAGAGGTCATACTGTAATATTAGTTTCTTTTGAGGGTAGGATAACCAGTACTGAATATTGGTTTGAGTGGTAAAAGCATGGGGGCTATCTAGTTATCCCATAAAGCATCTTGCTTGTGGGCTGCCCATAGGAAAGTTGATGGAACAAAATACTAGGCTAAATAGACGTAGGCTAAATAGGGTTCTTCTTTTGCTCTTCGAGATTTGAACAATGTTGCATTTGAAGCAAAATGCAGTTTTGGCTGGCTTGCTTCCTGTTGTGTGTTTTGAAGTTGCTGACCTCATGTCTTTCTCAATATAGCTACACCTGCACCAGTCTCCATTGTGAAGCGTGAGTGTCTTGAGGGAAATGGAGAAAATTATCGAGGGAAAATTTCTGTGACAGTATCTGGAAAGGCGTGTCAATCCTGGTCAGCTCAAACTCCTCACAAACATATGAGAACCCCAGAAAACTACCCTTGCAAGTATGTGAAACATCCATTGTTGCTAGGGTCTTACAGTTCTAATGAGTGAATAAAGTCAGCTAACTTTGAGAGAACATTTGAGAGACCTTTCTTCTCATATCTTATTACCATTGCATCTTAGCCTCCACACAACGTTAGAAGAGGGTGGAGAGTTAAGCAAGTGTCACACTTCATTCATCTTGATGTCAGACACCTCAGTGGGATATTTCACATTATACTGTGTTTCCATTTTTTCTTGTCTTCTTAAAAAGAGGGAGGAAGAAGGTTAGATGCACCTTTAAGACTTAAAAGGTCTTTCAACTTTAGCTTTTGTGGTTTGAGGCAGATAATATTGCCCTTCAATAAAAGTTACTACTTTCAACTATAAATCCAAGAATCTCCGAAGCATTATACTCAAGTATAAAGGAATAAAAAGGAACTTTTCCAAGTAGTGGTTTTGAACTGGAAAATCAGTTTTCATTTCAGACTATGCATGTAAGCTATAAAAACATGAAAGAAATGAAATTCATGTTTAGACTTTGTTCCCATTTCTAACGTATCTTATTATGTGCCTATGGATCTGTAAGCCAGGCGATAGTGGGGGGATTCACCATGGATCATGACACATCCAGTGGGGGAACCCACATTGCTCCTTACCTGATTTCGTGGGAGGAAGTGTCACTGCCCGGCTTTCCCCGTTCTTCTTTATGCAACGTGGGAAGCCTCCCATGTTGTAGGCACCACTTCTTATGACAGTTCAACCTCAACTCAGGCACAGAGCCCTGCCAGAAGTACATATATGTCTTGCAATGGGATTCTGCAGGCTCCGTGCCTGAAGTGAGGTCAAACTGTCATAGGATGGGCAATTTTACCTGTGTGATGAAGTCGTATAGGCAAATAACAAGTTTTCCAAAATCTGAGAACAAAACCATACAAGCAAATATAGTTAAATACTTTATTGCATTAAAGTAAAATTTAAAATATTTCTGATACCATTTAAAATTATTGTGGAAGTTTCAAGCATTAGCGGTTTATGTGCACATTATATTTCAGAGGTTTAGAAGAAAACTACTGTAGAAACCCTGACGGAGAGTCGAGGCCATGGTGCTATACCACAGATCCTAATAAACGATGGGAATATTGTGACATTGCTAATTGTAATGCTCCTGCAGTAGTTACTGGTAAGAACATTGGTGTTTGACCATCTGTGATACATCTGAACATTTGGCACTCCAGAAATAAACAAGTAGAGGAAGTAAATACCTTTTTGTTAGCTGCCTTGTGTCCCAGCCTGCTAGAAAGTTAGGATATGAAGGAATGGATGGAATCCTTGCAAAAATTAAACGTTACGTATTTGTCTATGATTTCTCAAATGAGTATTTTCAAATAGGGTCAGGCATTGGATGTTGCATGAATACATCTTGCATTAAATGCTTTTCAACAACTGCTTTGATATACTGGGTTTAATCTTTTGCATTTTTCAGTTCTAAGTTTACTTATGTGGGACAGACTGATCTTGAAATGTAAACAAAATAAATAGCTTCTGTCCCAAAGACTGCAACCAGAGACTTACCTTGCAGGAAGAAATCCTACCAAACTGGCACCATCTTTTTTCTGAGTAAATGTGCTTAGGATAGTTGATTTTTTGCAAGCCTGCAAAACGAGATACCCCTAGATCAGCAAGAGATAAATGAGGACTGGTTTGCTATTGCTTCCATAAATTTTCTCAAGATATCAATTTTCTTTGTCTTCAGAATCTAAGCAAAATCAGGGACACTTCATACTTGGTTGGGAAACCAATTTGGCGATGTGTTTTCTGTAGAAAGTTGGTGACCCTAAAGCGAACGTATCCTGGGTTGTTTTTTCACAAGAATTATTGTGGTTTTAAGCAGTTTTGCCCTCCTTTTCCCAAGGTCATTCAGTGGATTTCCATGGCTTAGCAGGGATTTGAATCTTAATTGCCCTGAGTCTTAGTCCAAATTCAAATAATTACACCATGCTGGGGAGAAAAATCATTCCTAACCTCTTAGAGAGCTGCTGCCAGTCAGAGTTGCTTGCAATGAGCTAGGTGACCTCAGTATAAGGCAGCTTTCTAATCTGAGCCCCCCAAATTGATCCAACAACCACCTAGAATAGGAAGGAGATCAGTCATTGAGAAAAGATGTCCATCTTGCATTTGTTTACCACGTCCTGAGCATTTCTCAATACTTGCACAGCTATGAGCTAGGCAGTTTTACAGAACAAGGCCTTAACAAAATTGGTCATTATAGATATTAAAATAAGGTATGTGCCATTCATTTCTATATCTGTGCTTTTTTGTTTTGTTTGAAAAAGCTGCAGCACCTGTTCAAGTCCCACAAGCTCCAGCTGTGGAAGAGTGTTACGAAGGCACTGGCGCAAGCTATCGGGGTACAATGGCACTGACTGTTTCAGGAAAGAAATGCCAAGCATGGAGCTCTATGACACCTCATTTTCACTCTAAAACCCCATCTAGTTTCCCAAACGCGTATGTATGCTTTGCTCATCATCAGAAGATTGTGTGCAGTTGTTCATGGGGCAAGACACACAAAAGACTTGCTACATAAAAAAGAGTTTAAAAAATACATTGGTGTGATTTATTTTAGAAACAGAGCCACCTGGAACTTCTACAGCTTGAGGCATGTTAACCAATGGCAACTGCCCTTCCAAGTAAAAGCCTATTTAGCAACCAAATGTGCCGAGACTTATGAGACAGAAAATCTAAAAGCACCTTTTTGCCTTTCTGGCAGCAAAGTTCCAATAATTAATCAAAATGCTATCAATTTCTTGATTCTTAAATTTGCTGTCTGACTCCACCACCAGTGTTAGGAAAAGGAAAGAACAAGATGGGACAGGAATCAGTTGTTTTCATCTGCAGCCATGGATTCATGATAAAATCTAGCTGTGAGCCTATCAGTGGCCTAGAAACTGGAAAGGTGCTCCAGATAAATTTCAGTTGCCCATCACTCTGTAATTTCTTTTACACTGCTGTAGAAGTTGCAGGTCTAGTATTAACTTGTCCTTAAAAATCAGCCTAGCGGAGTGGTTATAAGAACAAGTTTATGCTAGTAAGGAGTTGACAGCAGCCATCTTGGATGTACCCTTTAATTTTAGGGTAAAAGATTAGTGTGTCATTTACATACAAAATTATTAAGACTGAGAAGATTGAATAACATAATCAAATAAATTCTGTTCGAATACAATAAATATGTGTAATACAGCTTCTCCTATCTATATTTATAGGGGCCTAAGAAACAACTACTGCAGAAACCCAGATAACGACAGGGCACCATGGTGTTATACAACAGATCCTCGTACAAGGTGGGAGTTCTGCAATCTGCAAAAGTGCGCTGATCTTGTGCAACAGCGCCCTCAGTCCACAACACCATCAAATCTTGAATCAGGTAACCAGTAACAAGTAATATTTTGCCTTAACTGGGGATTCTTTGATCCTCTTGACTCCCAAAAGTCCAAGGGCACATCTAGACAGCCCCTTTAATGTTGGAATCACTGCAATAAAAAGGGGACTGTCCAGATGACGTCCTGGACAAACCCGAATTAATTTGCCACAAACCAGGAAAACCTTGGATTGTGGCAAATTAATTTGATAGTGGGTTTATTCTGGCCTTCTTGGAAGGTGTAGGATAAAACCCACTACTTCCGGTGCCTGGACACTCTAGACAGTAGTCCCACAGTTTTCCAGGCTAAATTCCAGGAAAACAATGAGAACACCAATCCCCTCCCCAAAAGTACTGTAAAAAACAAAAAAAAACACGTACCTGGCCTCCATTAGAGAGCTGCTGGAGCTCTCCTGGTGCATAGAAATGATGTTCCAGGAAAAAAGGGGGGGGGAGGAAAATTGCTCCTGTCCTCCCCCTTTTCCTGGTGCATCATTTCTATGCACAGGAGAGCTCCAGCAGCCCTCTAATGGAGGCCAGGTACGTTTTTTTGTTTTTTTCCTAGTGCTTTTGGGGAGAGAGTTTAGAGTGTCTAGGTGTTCTCCCTGGAAGCATGGGCTTTCAGGGGTGTGTGTAGATGGGCCCTTGGGAACAAGCACCAGGATGTGGCACAGCTGGCTGGGTGTCAGCTGCATTAAGATTACTACTGACCGAAAGGTCATGAGTTCGAAGCCAGCCCGGGTCAGAGTGAGCTTCTGACCAAATTTGTGTAGCTTGTTGTCGACCTTTGCAGCCCAAAAGACAGTTGCATCTGTCAAATAGAAAATTTAGGTACCACTTTGTGGGGAGGCTAATTTGACTAATTTACGAGGCCATAAAGATCAGCGAGCATGCGGGGAATGAGGAAGTACTTCATCAGAGTCACAGATGGACAGTGAAGCAACAGCTCCCCTGGTGGCCAGAAAAAGTTGGAATGTTAAATAGCCACTGACTGTCTATATGTGTTGTGTGTCTATGGCATTGAATGTTTGTCATGTATATGTACATTGTAATCCGCCCTGAGTCCCCTGTGGGGTGAGAAGGGAGGAATATAAATACTGTAAATAAACAATAATTCATGTTTTTTAAACACGAATGTTCCCAGGATAAATGCCTCTCTGGAAGCGCGCCTAATGAGCATGATCCATGGTAATGTCGCGGCAGATTTGCTACCCGGGATCATGTAGAGCACAATCAGGCAGGAAGGAGACGGAGACTGCAAATTTGATTCCAGGCATATTTACTATCATGATAGGACGCTCAGAAGTGTGATCTGAAGCGTACTAGAAGTCACTCAGCTTACAATATTTATAGCAAAATTCACTAGTTCAGACATGCGCACAATTGCCATGACATTTACACAGATATAAACATTAACAGAGGTATTTCGCATTACCTTTTCCCATACATCACAATGACATATTATATTGACGTACTTATAATTGTTTCAAATCTTAATTATTCCCATATTCGTAATATATCTGAAGTTACCTGCTATTTACCTCACTGAACCACCAGATGTTGCTCTGACCTTTTCCAGCCTCAGATCAATTATCTACACAAGCGTCCTTGTCTGGTTGCCAGAAACATTCCCTTGATGATAAACATCTCACTTTATTATTGTTTCCCAAATGTCATGTTCCCGTTAATATTTAACTTCCTTGATCTCTGACTTTCGTCTATGGAACATTTTGCTTCTCCCTGCCGCAAACACTCCTTCGCTAGTATTTCAAGGTAAGTTTTCCTATATTCATTTTTTAAATATATTTTTATAATTATTCTTTTCCGCTGACTGCTACAGTAAGATGTTGAGAAAGCAGTAGTTCAGTACCTCTTGAAGGCCAAAGGTTTCCCAGTCCTGCCTCCTCCAGCCCTCACCAACAATTATTTACTGTTCCCCAGGATGTCATAACCAAAGAGAGTGTCTTTATTGTAAACATCACATCCTCTGTATAGAATGACAGCAAAATCCTGCTCACTTTTGTTTTACTTTAAAAGATTGCAGGTCTGGAAGAGGTGACGATTACCGTGGACATATTGCCTCAACCACAAGTGGCAAGACTTGCCAGGAGTGGCGCTTACAGATACCACACAGACATGATTCGTTCACACCACAGAGTCACCCACATGCAGGACTGGAAAAAAATGTGAGTAACCTAGTTCACAAAAAGTTTTAAAAGAAAATTTAGAGACACAAAAAAGATATATATAACATTTATTACAACTCTCTTGAAGAAGCTACTAGTTACAAACTCTGCAGTGCTGTCCTGCACATTCTAATCCCCCATCTTCCAGGTCAGACTAGACCAGGGCTTCTTAATTTATTCTCACTTGCATTTTTTTACATGACCCTGGGTATGTAGTAAAAAAATCAAACATTTACTGAATAAATCAGCATTTGCAAAACTTTCCAAACAGGCATCCAACTGTGTTTCTATAACTAGGTGCACAGCAACAGGCATTCCCCAAGACCTCCCCCAGATTCTCCGCTGTGCCTGGAAGGTGGTATCACTGCTGTGCATCCAGACAAAAAAAGCATAGCTGAACATTGCTATGCCAGCATTACCATCCTGCTCTGTATGTGCTAGTTGCTGGCTATGTTATGGCAGCTGCAGTAGCTGAAAGATAGGTTGGGGGGAGGGAGTGGTATCCTTCCATGGTTAGTAAAGAATAGATGTCTCTAGAAAGACCAAAATAATGAGTTATGCAGAGGAATCCAGATCTGTGCAACATTTACAAACACCATCAATACACCATTGGTCTCATTTTGTAAAAGAAACTCTCACTGGAAGAGCAGGAGAAAAGGAGCAATATTATCTGATAAGTCCAAAAGAAAGAATCCTAGAATAATAGAATCAAAGAGTTGGAAAACACCTCATGGGCCATCCAGTCCAACCCCCTGCCAAGAAGCAGGAATATTGCATTCAAATCACCCCTGACAGATGGCCATCCAGCCTCTGTTTAAAAGCTTTTGAAAAAGGAGCCTCAACCACACTCCGGGTAGAGAGTTCCACTGCTGAATAGCTCTCACAGTTAGGAAGTTTTTCCTCATGTTCAGGTGGAATAGGCTTTCCTGCAGTTTGAAGCCATTGTTCTGCATCCTAGTCTCCCGGGCAGCAGAAAACAAGCTTGCTCCCTCCTCCCTGTGGCTTCCTCTCACATATTTATACATGGCTATCATATCTCCTCTCAGCCTTCTCTTCTTCAGGCTAAACATGCCCAGCTCCTTAAGCCGCTCCTCATAGGGCTTGTTCTCCAGATCCTTGATCATTTTAGTCGCCCTCCTCTGGACACATTCCAGCTTGTCAATATCTCTCTTGAATTGTGGTGCCCAGAATTGGACACAATATTCCAGGTGTGGTCTAACCAAAGCAGAATAGAGGGGTAGCATTACTTCCCTAGATCTAGACACTATGCTCCTATTGATACAGGCCAAAATCCCATTGGCTTTTTTTGCCGCCACATACATTGTTGGCTCATCATTTAACTTGCTGTCCACGAGGACTCCAAGATCTTTTTCACATGTAATGCTCTCAAGCCAGGCATCCCCCATTCTGTATCTTTGCATTTCGTTTTTCCTGCCAAAGTGGAGTATCTTGCATTTGTCACTGTTGAACTTCATTTTGTTAGTTTTGGCCCATCTCTCTAATCTGTCAAGATCGTTTTGAATCCTGCTCCTGTCCTCTGGAGTATTGGTTATCCCTCCTGGAGTATTGGCTATCCCTACAAAAAGAAAGATATGATTTTCTTTTTGTAATTCAAATTTGTCTGCCCTGTGTGATAAACTCTTTAAAATATATATTTTAAAAGAGTTTGAAATCAAGTTCTTTGGGGCCTTTATTCCAAATGGAGACAGGCCGAAAGCTTAATATGAGTGTATCTACATTATAGAGTTAATGCCTATTTTTAGGGGGTATTTAGCCTTCCCTACCAAAGAGTGCTGGTGCCTCACCAAACTACAATTCCCAGTATTCTATACTATTGAGCCATGGCAATTAAAGTGGCATCAACCTGCATTAATTATGCAGTGTAGCTTGCACCATTTGGGGCCTATCCAGATAGGCCCAAATTTTGTTTCGGCTAGTTGGGTAATAATAAAGAAGAGAAGATAAAATAATTGTGTCTTGTGTATGAACCTGCAAAGATTGTGCCTTGCTTGGTTTGTGATTAAAGTTATTTTGCTTTTTATAGTACTGCAGAAATCCTGATGGTGATATTAATGGTCCCTGGTGCTATACTACAGACCCAAATAAAGCATGGGACTATTGTGATGTCCCACAGTGCCGTAAGTATACTTGTAAAAATTATCACAGGAATGCAGTGTTTTTTAATGTTGAAGGCCACATTCCCTTGGAAGAAATGTCTCAAAGTTTTAAGACTTTGTACAGTTTTTATATTTTCATATCATGTGCCATTGTTATTAAAATAATTTCTTGATTGTTTTTACATGTTATAATTGTTAATATTCCTTACCTTCAGTGCAAAAATTAGAAGTGCGTATTTCAGGCATAGTTTCCACAATTTGTACTCAATGTATTGTATGTGTTTATGTGCCTTCAAGTCCTCTTCCAGTCAAAGCACACATTGGACTCATGTTATAATAGCCATCGTTCTTCTTGCCCTGTTAATGAAATGGCTGGGGCTATTTGAGGAGCAAAATAATATGAAGGAAATTGTGATATTTGAATAATTGTAAAAGGTAAGTCCAGTCATGTCTGACTCTGGGGTGTGGTGCTCATCTCCATTTCTAAGCCAAAGAGCCAGCGTTGTCCGTAGACACCTCCAAGGTCATGTGGCCGGCATGACTGCATGGAGTGCCGTTACCTTCCTGCCGGAGCGGTACCTATTGATCTACTCACATTTGCATGTTTTCGAACTGCTAGGTTGGCAGAAGCTAGGGCTGACAGCGGAAGCTCACGCCGCTCCCCGGAATCGAACCTGTGACCTTTCGATCAACAAGCTCAGCAGCTCAGTGCTTTAACCCACTGCGCCACCGGGGGCTCCCTGAATAACTGTATATGCCCCTTAAAGTTGCCTTTTGGGTTGTACAGCAACCCTATGAATTTCATAAGGATTTCTTAAGCCGGAAAAACTGAGATGGTTTTTGATATAAATAAATGAGGGCCTAATCCCCCTTTGCAACAACCAGCAAATCTTAAAGAGAAGGAATAGACGGGCTGCACTCGTGGAATTTACGATCCAACACAGGAGAATACCGGTGGTGTATATGGTATTTTCCTTAACAAACGCAGAGTACCTGGCTATATGATGTTCCACCGGGTGGCGCTGAGAAACCATTGGTCCATGTTTGCAAGAAATGTGATGATAAAGAGAAACACAGAGAAAAGAAGGAAGCGGGATGCGGCAAGATAGGGCACCCCAGGCACTTATATAACTGCCCCAGTGACTTCTGCTACAAAAAAACATAACATCAACTAGGGAGCATAGGAACAAGGCATACAGATCTGCTGTGTTAAGGGCCCTTCCACACTACCATATAATCCAGTTCAATGTGGATTTTATACAGCTGTGTGTGGAAGGGGCCTTAGAAGTGTTCTATAGAGAATTCAGATGAGTGGTTTTCAGAGTTACATAATTGCTGCTCTCCTTAAGATGTTAATACATTTTACTCTACTTTCTATGTCTCTCCTCTTCATTCTGAAGCTCCTCCTGAATACGAATGTGGGAAACCCAAATATAAACCACTGAACTGTATTGCAAGGATCGTTGGTGGGTGTATTTCAAATCCCCATTCTTGGCCCTGGCAGATCAGCCTCCGAACAAGGTATGGAGTACATGCCATTATGTTATAAAGAGTCTCTCAAGAGTGGTGGCTGGAGGAGAAGTGGAACAGACAGCATATAGAATGTGTGTATTTAGGAGGACATTATTTATTCCAGAAAGATGGCTTGTTATGTAATTCCAGTGCATGTAAACCAGCAGACTCTTGTGACGGGCATTTTTTTATCATTATTCTTATTCTTTATATGTTTATTTATACCCCTCCTTTTCTCTCCACAAGGAGACTCAAAGCTGCTTACATTAAAAATCATTTCAATACAATTTAAAATCTACAAACATACAAATATTAAAACAGAATTAAATATCATTGATATTTCAAAAATACCAATGAGGTTTTATCTTAAAAATATTCTTCGTTCTGACTTCATCTTAAAAATATTCTTCATTGTAAGCCTGCTTGAATAAAAAGGTTTTAGCCTGCCACCAGAAGGACAGCAGGGAGGAGGCCATTCTGGCTTCCCTGGGCAGGGAGTTCCAGAGTCAAGGGGCAGCCACCGAGAAGGAAGGCCTCATCAGATGGAGGTGGGACCAAGTGAAAGGCCTCTCCTGAAGATAGGTTCGCATAAGGCATAAGTGTTTGCTTTATAGAAATATGGCTACACTAGCGATTTGTGTTATATAAACCACCCTGAGTCCCCTTCGGGGTTGAGAAGGGTGGTATACAAATACCACAAATAAATAAATAAATAAATAAATAAATAAATAAAAACATGCAAAGAATGTGGAGCATGACTATTCAAAGCAGTAGTCTGCTGATCAGTGTTGGTCCAGAAGCCATCATCAGTAAGTTTATAGGAAAGAAAGTTGTAGTCAATGAGCCAAAAAAAATTGCTACTTGTCCTCATGACATTGACTTCCTGCTACATCCTAGGATGCTGCCAGGATGGAGTCACAATGGAAAGTGCTGGGGCCCTTCACACAACACAGGGCTACTTCCTGTGGGGCTCTGTTCTAGCTCCATCCTGGAAGCGTCTTAGAACGGAGCAAGAAGTCAAGAAGAAGTGGCTACCCATGTTCTCATAGCCAGCAACAAGGCCAGCTTGGGGAGAAGCTGGGCAGTGACACTTTCCCTGTTGTGATGGGGAAAGTAGAGATGCGGGTGATGCAGGGCACAAGGTGATAGTTTCTCCTGCTGCCCCACAGATTCACCACACTGCCTGGCAATTCCCCCTGCTGTCGCCTGCATTGTGATGAGGTTCCTAGGCTCATTAGGGGGAAAAAAATATCAGTCTCACATATCAGATAGTTTGAGAAACCCTACTCTGAGAAACAGTGCCATTCTATTTAAGTGATACATATTCAAGATGGGAACAAAAATTGGTTTTGCATAATGTTGCCAAAACTAATACATTGATTCTCTCTGCCTGCCCCCCCCCCCCAAATTTCTTTTAGTTTCAATATGCACTTCTGTGGAGGCACTCTGATAGACCCAGAATGGGTTCTGACAGCAACTCACTGTTTAGAACGGTAAGTGGATCTTTCCCTGGACTGTGAAGTAACAACATGTGTCTGCCATATTGCCATGACTTCCTTAGGCACCACAATGACTTGGGTTCAATGTGGAAGATTAACTGCATCAAGCTTCTAGTTTTCATGTGAATTAATGGAGGAGTCTGCTCTTGTCAGTCATGATGTATGGGTATGAATCCTGATTTCCTTAAGATGTTCTTACTTAACAAATCTGTCTCTTGTAGGTCATCAAGGCCTTCTGCTTACAAAGTGTCAGCAGGACTGCACACAGAGAGGGCTACAGAAGCCTCTGCACAACATCGAAATGTCCAGAGACTCTTCAAAGAACCAAGTGGAGCAGACATTGCCTTGCTGAAACTCAGCAGGTATCCTTGGAGTCATGGTTTTCATTATCTAATGGTCGGCCCAGTTTGTATTCATATTGATGGGGTAGCTATTGAAGTAGCTTTGTTTAGTGGTGGTGAAATGTTTGTATTGTGGTTGTTTGATTATTGTTTGATCATTCATCTTTCTCTGCCTCTTCTGTCAATAAACGTAATAAAAATTATATTACATAAACAATTGCTTTCATCGATCACCATGCACACAGTTCTGTCTTTTGGCTGTTATCTTTTAAGGGCAATAATGATCAATCTGCAAATTTTCTTTGTGTTGTATACATCTATAGAAGAAGTCAAACGAATTGTTGATCTGGCTTCCCCAGTGACATATGTGGCCAAATAGGATTTCTGATTGCTTTTATATGTTGGGTTCCTGGGTATATTGCAAAAAGAAACAATGTGTGGTCAAAGTGGTTTCTTTTCATAATTGGGGACTATTGGGAGTAAAGGCAGCCGAAATAGGGGTAGGCATAGTACAACCTATGGCCCACATGAGACCTCCGTACTCCATATTTGTGGCTTCTGAAGCCCCATATCAATTCTCCAAGCATCCCAGTCCCCCCATTTTAATAAAATTGATGAAATTTGAAAGCAATGTTTTCCCATTCCCCAACATTATTCTTGATGTCTCTGTTTTCTGTTGACATCCTTCTCAAAATGGCAACAGCAAGCCCACTTCCACACAGCTGTATAAAATCCACATTGTACTGGATTATATGACAGTGTGGACTCTGCCATATAATTATATGACAGTTCTAAGCAGATATTGTGGATTATGTACCTTAATATCCTAGGTTATATGGCTGCGTGGAAGGGCCCCAAGTGATGTGATGTTGCATCCTTTTGTCAAAGTAACTGCAGAACAAAACAGAAGTATTTGGGCTTACAATGGGGGGCTGCACCTTTGGGGAAAAAATTGGCCATAGTCCTTACCCACTTGCCTACTAGCAAGTTGTGTGGCAAAGCATGGTCCCTTTCCCCACATTTTACGTTTGCTGCCTTAAAGTAGTAGAGTCATGTTTCTAAATTAGCATGCATCATTGTTTATCCCCCCTCCTTTTTTAAATGGTTAGGAAGCAAGAAATATGTTAAAGTAACAGAGTTTTAGAACTGATTTCTGAAAAGTAGGAATTGAAGATATGCTAAATGTATCCATGACCAATATGGCAGTGGTAGGCTAATTCTTCAGAATCCTGTATATTATCATACTTCTGCTCAATTATAGATGTTTTCAGCATGTAATTGGATTCCTGCTTCTGAAAATCTGCAAAGATAGCATATGAAACCTGTCATCTCCAAAATTATTTTTGAGAGATTCATAGAGTTTGGGTTGACAGAAGAAAATTTATATTGGTACATAAGAGGGATGTTTACAAAACAGCTGCTTTCCTCTAAAAACCTTGCGTTTATTTTCATAGTACCAGGCTTAATCCTATGTCTAATTTTCAGATGTTGGATAAAGTGGAAATCAGGGTTAAAGAAAAGTCATTTCAACTAAGCATCATTTTATTGATTTCAGTTTTAGTACTTTTGCTTACCTAGAAACAACAAGATATTTTCATTAGAGAGTGTTTTTGTTTGCTGTGGTGTGCCTTGACGTCATTTCCTACTTGTAGTAACCTTAAAGCCTATCATAGGGTTTTCTTAGCAAGATTATTTCAGAGGTAGTTTACCTTTGCCTTCTTCTGAGTGTGATTTACCCAAGGTCGCCCAGTGGGTTTCCATAAACAGAGGGGGATTTGAACTCTCATCTTCCAGATTCCAATACTCAAACCATAAAAGCACAAAATACTTCATTGCTTTAAAAATTCCTAGCTATTTTTTAAAAAGCATATAATAGATTTATGAGCCAACTTGAGTCCCAATTCTTGAAGAAAGGTGGGATTTTGGTGCCATGTCCCTTCATAGAAGGTGACCATGCTGACTCCTTGGTTATCAAATGCATTACCAGAACAACTGGAGTGTGAGAAATGTGCAAACAAATTCAAATTTCTTGTAAACGTTTCTTTCAGCCCCCTACTGATCACTGACCAAGTAATCCCAGCATGTTTGCCTCCATCCAACTCAATGGTAGCAGGTGGATCAGAATGCTATGTCACTGGATGGGGTGAAACAAAAGGTGAGTAGCTGTTCAAAACACCAAACGTTGTTATGCTATATGTTGCAGTTTTTCCATGCCTGGTTATATCATTTTTATATCAATCTTTCTGATTTTTGTTTACCTACATGTGAAGAAAACTAGCTTTGTTTCTTTGGTGTATTGCAGTTTCCTATTAGAAGCTACAATGCCCATGATTCCATAGCACTGAGCCATGGCAATTACTGTGACCTTAAACTGCATTAATTCTACAGTGTAGATGCACCCTATAGCCAACTCTTTGAGAACAACTTACATGGGAATACTCCCATCTAGTTTCTCATTTGGGCTGAGATCTGCTTTCCTTTTACAGTGTAATCTTGACCACAAAATGCAGTTTCTTTAGCTTGCGTTTCTTCTCATACCAAAAGGCTTATCATAGAATAAATTCACTGATATACCAGTGCTGGAGTTTCATTGCTGTGTATAGCATTTGTCCCGTATTTGTCATTATGGATGGGTACCGGTTTTCACTTCAACTAGAACAATGGTTCTCAATCTGGGATCCCCAGATGTTTTTGGCCTACAACTCCCAGAAATCCCAGCCAGTTTACCAGCTGTTAGGATTTCTGGGAGTTGAAGGCAAAAAATATCTGGGGAACCCAGGTTGAGAACCACTGAACTAGAACATACTGCATGATCTCTTGTCTCATCTCATCCTACATAGAGAAATCTTTTGCAAAGGGTTCTGTGGCATTGAAGTCAAAATAATGCAAATGATTTTTTCCCCTCTGCTGGAGCTGTTTGTTCAATTTTATTTTGGCTTTCTCTCTTGTTTGTGAAGGAACTGGTGGAGATGGCCTTCTTAAAGAGACAGGCTTCCCTGTCATTGAGAATAAAATATGTAATCGGCCTGAACTTCTGAATGGCAGAGTCAGAAACAGTGAACTCTGTGCTGGCAATGTTGATGGTGGCACGGATAGTTGTCAGGTAAGAGATACTGGGGAAGTCATGTTTGGCTTGAGCCACAAAATGACTGGCATCTGATGGATGTTACTTGTGTCAAAGTGTTGGGTACTTTAGCCTTCTGTGAGCCCTAAAGTTGAGCAGGAATGTAAACAGACAACAAACAATTGACTAGCTTTGGCTAAAGGATTTACCAAGTCCCAGCAATGCTTTCAATCCAACCTACCTATAGTACTCGTTGAAATAGTTTGTTTCAAGCATCAGTATTTTATAGAACCTCAGCATTATGCAGACAACAAAATGACATGAGGAATACTGAATGCATATGTGGCAATCCTTGTTTGAGATCAAGGTGATAAAAACTGAATGTATCTAGTTTAGGAGGATGCTCTCAGGATCTGGCACTATATGTAACCATACTTCTGGTTATTGGTCCTGGGCATGTAATATTGCAGATACAGCATTTCTTGCATAGCATAAATTACAGAATTCAACAAACAATACAAACCATGGGGCGACATCAGCTATTGTCAATATTGATTTGATCAGGCTCATTAAAATAAATCAGTGTTGAGGTGAATCTTTAATTCTTATTTTATACCAGCAAAAAGAGGATTCGTCATCCCCATGTAAATACTGACTTTAGAAGAGACCTTTTCCTGAAGTCCACGGAAGGATAACAGGGGGTTGGGTCTTTTGTCTTGGTCCCTTAATTATCATCTCTCTCTCAATCAGTGGCATCTAGATTTTTTTAAAACCTGTACGTTGCAAACCAAGAGGTGGAAACATTTGGCCTTCTAAACATTTTGTACTACAACTCCCAGTCCTTTATCATCAGTCATGCTGGGTGGAGATTAATGGGAGTTGTATGCCAAAGAGGGCTCAGCTGTTTTAATTCCATGCCTCTGCCCAGTCCAAGTGTCCTGGAAATGTAGTGAGATCATTCATAACACAGATCTAAAGTTATCAATCTCAATATATGCTTTCATTGCTTTCTGTGTTCCTCCTTTGCTTATTCCCCTTCTCCCTTGTATGTAGGGTGACAGCGGAGGACCTCTGGTCTGTTCAGAACAAGGAAAATACATCCTTCACGGAGTCACCTCTTGGGGCCTTGGCTGTGCCCAACCCATGAAGCCAGGAGTTTATGTCCGGGTTTCTAGGTTTACACCATGGATTGAAAAAACAATGAAAGAAAACTAGTCTATAGTGATCTTTTGTTGAAAGTAACCAATGGAATGAAGGAGAGATAAAGAAAAATGAATTTTGAGTACTCACTTTCTATCCCCATACAAACACACTCATTTGCTCAATCTTAAATGTGTTAACTGGGTTGACCACAGCTGAAATCTGGAGGACATGTGAATCAACATAATTCTACTTAATAAAGGGCTTTCCAGTCTCATTCTTGCCTCCTAAAACACTTATCTGTGTAATAGTATACTGGTTTATTTCCCACTCTAGTGGTTGTGGGCAAAGATTTTGAATAATTCAGTGCAAATCTGGCAATCTTAAAAACAGAAAACATTTATTTGTGGAGAAATAAAGAGAAAACCTGATACACAAGACACTATTTTTTAAAATGAACATTCATAATTGAATTAGGAGCCCCCAGTGGCACAATGGGTTAAACCCTTGTGCTGGCAGGACTGCTGATCAAAAGTTGGCGGTTTGAATTCAGGGAGCGGGGTTTATTTATTTATTTATCGAGTCATCAGCAACCAGTCAATTATATTACATTTCTAACAGAATAAAGCAAACAAACAGACAAAATACAAAAATACAAAATACAGAATACAAAATTTGTGAGTTTGGTAGTTGATTAGATGTCCTTTGACCAGTATCTGGCCACTTGGAGTGCTTCTGGTGTTGCTGCAAGAAGGTCCTCCATTGTGCATGTGGCAGGGCTCAGGTTGCATTGCAGCAGGTGGTCAGTGGTTTGCTCTTCTCCACACTCACATGTTGAGGATTCCACTTTGTAGCCCCATTTCTGAAGGTTGGCTCTGCATCTCGTGGTGCCAGAGCGCAGTCTGTTCAGCGCCTTCCAAGTCGCCCAGTCCTCTGTGTGCCCAGGGGGAGTCTCTCATTTGGTATCAGCCATTGGTTGAGGTTCTGGGTTTGAGCCTGCCACTTTTGGACTCTCGCTTGCTGAGGTGTCCCAGCGAGTGTCTCTGTAGATCTTAGAAAACTATTTCTAGATTTAAGTCGTTGACGTGCTGGCTGATACCCAAACAGGGGATGAGCTGGATATGTCTCTGCCTTGGTCCTTTCACTGAGCTGTCTCTGCCTTGGTCCTTTCACTATTGGCTGCTACTTCCCAGCGGATGTCAGGTGGTGCAATACCAGCTAAGCAGTGTAATTTTTCCAGTGGTGTAGGGTGCAGACACCCCGTGATAATGCGGCATGTCTCATTAAGAGCCACATCCACTGTTTTAGGGTGAGCGGGGTGAGCTTCTGTATGTCAGTTCCAGCTTTCCATGTGAGGACATGAGAGAAGCCTCCCACAGGAGGGTAAAACATCCAGGTGTCCCCTGGGCAACATTGTTGCAGACAGCCAATTCTCTCACACAAGAAGTGACTTGCAGTTTCTCAAGTTGCTCCTGTCATGGAAAAAAATTAATTGAATTAGTTTTTAAATTATATAGATCTTATATGCAAGTGTTGTCTGTAGAATAAATGAAGTAGTTCTTGATGAGGAATGTTCTTGATGAGGAACACATATTCTTAAACATATCAGACATGTCTTTTCTTTGTGACCCAAATGAGCATTACAAAGCACTAAAACAGAAGTATTTCTACACCCCTCTGTGTAGAAAAATACTTTCTTGTACAGATTTCTTTTGCTAGAGTGAGATGATGGATTTTCGCCAAGCAAAGTAGTAAAACTTCCCTACAGATGAGTTCAAAAGTTCAGCACTGAGTAATGGACAACCAGAAGCCTCTTCAACTTAGAGGGAATGTGCATGGAATGTATACATAACTGTTCAGAGGCCATAACATTCAAGATGGAAATATTTCCTTGATTTTGAGTAAATGCAGTTATAAGATGTAGTTGGGCTGGTGTTGATTTGGAGCTACCACAATTTTCCTTAACTAGCCTTGGAATATCTGTTGAGTCTCTTCATTGTTAAGATATAAAGATTGTTACAAGCCTGCTGTACAATAATGCCATTCCTCATTCACATTCATACACACCCAACAAAAACGCTATCATTATTGTTGAAGGCTTTCATGGCCAGAATCACTGGGTTGTTGTAGGTTTTTTCCGGGTTATATGGCCATGTTCTAGAGGCATTTTCTCCTGACGAATGCAGGCGAAATGTCAGGAGAAAATGCCTCTAGAACGTGGCCATATAACCCAGAAAAACCTACAACAACCCAATACTATCATTAATTTCTCACTACTTGTAAAATCTGTTTCCAAATGTCATGCCGGACACTGCTCACAGGAGGGATGGAAATATCTTTCAGCTGCTTCCTCATCAATGGGGGAACAAATCCCTCTTGCTTGCATTGGATGCTGTCTGGTAAGGAAGGAGTGGGGGATTGCCCCAGAGATATTCCTTACCTATGTAAATAATGTACTACATAGCTTAGTGAATGATAACAGAATTGCTGCAATATATGTATTGCATGCTACGGAATATGACAAAGCACCGCAACTGGCAATCATTCTAACTTTCTCATGTTAAATACTTGGGAAACTAACAAAACCACTTTAATTAGAAGCAAGCCGCAAGAAGTTGTGTTGTTGCCTAATTGAAGTTGTCACATGTTGGTGGAGTATGCTCTTGGTTTTAGTTGGCACCTCAAAAGAAGCTACCCAAAATGCTGAACCCGATCCTCAAAATAGAAGTGCCTTGGGTCACTTCTTTAAAGTTTGAACTAGACTGTGAGCTTCTCTGTCCCACTTGCATAGGAGTCACCAGCTGCCTTTGAAGATCCATGAAGCCATCTCAGAAAATGTGTTTCGGAAGGCAGCAAGAATCATTCAGTTTTTCTTGACTTCTGTTTTAAAGATGAGGACATTGGAGTCTTTTCCAGAGCAGAGCAAGACTTTGCCAGTAGTTTCTCTTCCTGCAGGTGCTGGTTCACAGTTGATTCCACTAGTTTCCAACCCAGCTCCAGCTGCTGGGTGGGGAAAGGAAGTCTCTTTTTTCGAAGTAAACAGAGCAGGCCCGTAGCCAGGATTTTGATTCGGGGGGGGGGGCTGAGTTTGGGGGGGGGCTGAGTCTGAGTGAAAGAGGGTCTAGCCTAGCAAACCTTTTGTATCATTACCCCAATACCCCCATGCGTATGGGATATATTGAGTATGGTGATCAGATCATGATATGAATAAACATAACAGTTTAAATAATGCACCAGTAAGGCCTTTTCGCGAACCACCATGAGAATTTCGGGGGGGGGGGCTGAAGCCCCTCAAGCCCCCCCCCCCCCCGGCTACATGCCTGAAACAGAGTATATGGGACAAATCAGAGACACAACTAAACTCAGTTTTCTCTTTAATATTCAAGTAATGTGCACATGGTACCAGCTATGGGCATGGTGGGAGGTGGCAGTTGTCAAGATCAAACCGAGCATAAAATGCAAAGCTCCTTCTGTGGTGTGGCACAGCTAAACTCCTTCATACAAAGCTGCAGGTGCCTTCCAACAATGAATTTTACTTAGAACTGCAGGAAGGCAGGAAAGGGTTAAATCCCCTTGCCCAAACCAGATGAGATCCTGCAATCACTTCACATCTACTGATGTAACTTTGATTTTTTTTAAAAGGAAAACAGAGTTGTTGTGAATTTTCCAGGCTGTATGGGCATGTTCGAGAAGCATACTCTCCTGACATTTCGCCTGCATCTATGACGGGCATCCTCAGAGGTTGTGAGGTCTGTTGGAAACCACAAGCATGTGGACAATTTCAACAGAAAGGAAGAAACCATGAAAATGAACAAAATCTGACTACCAGTATTTAAAAAAACCTCTAAAATCATAACAGTGAATAAAGAACAACACTAAAAAACAGGGGAATTCCAGACAAGAAACAATGAGTGCCAGCTAATCTCCTCCCAACAAAGGATTCCCTCGGGCAGTAACAAGCCAGACCTTGAAACTGCTGGGTTTCAAGGTGGCCAATTGAAACATTCACACCTACCTCCAACAGACAAGAGTTCTTTCTCCCACCCTGGACAAACCCCAATTTCCTAGTTTCCAACAGAACTCACAACCTCTGAGAATGCCTGCTATAGAGGCAGGCGAAATGTCAGGAGAGAATGCTTCTGGAACATGGCCATACAGCCTGGAAAACTCACAACTACCCAGTGATTCTGGCCATGAAAACCTTCGACAATACAAAAGAAAAACATTTTGCATATTCAATTAGTGCTTGGATACCAATGAGCCTTCTGTGGCTGCTGGGATTTGGCACTATGGACACCAAAATCCATGGATACTCATTCCATTATATACAATGGCATACAGCAGGCCTGCACAACCTGCAGCCCTTCAGATGTTTGGAACTCCAACTCCCAGAAGTGCTAGCCTGCTTGTCTAATGGTTAGGAATTCTGGGAGTTGGTCCAAAACACCTGGAGGGCCACATGTTGTGCAGACCTAGTATTGAGAAATGTTGTCTCTTATATGAAATGGCAAACCTCAAACTAGTGCCAGAGACTGCCTGAGGATCTGTGAAATAGCAGGAGGCTACAGCTGAGAATGCCTATGTATCAGCATAGTCAGAGTTTGGTTTTTGGATTTTTTTTTCCTGAAATATTTTCAAGCCATGTTGAATCTCTATATGCAGAACCCATGGAAACAGAGTGTTGAAAGTATTGTTTTTAAATGCAGTTAGGTACGTTTCTGAAAAAGAACTAATAAATATTCCAGTCACAATTACAAAACAAAGCAACTCTTTAATTTCCCATTTCTAACAGCTTGCCTTTTAAGTTTTTTTAAGAAAACATGCATCTGAAACACAATTCCTTTCCATCCAAATAATTTTTGCCTCAACATTCCCAATAGAAATACAAGGCAACAACATGAGGTATAACATGAACCAGCATTTGAACTACATATTCCTCCTCCATCATTTAGAGAGGCCATACCCTGCAACTATTACAGTTCACATCAAAAAGGAATGAAATTACAACTCCTTAAATCACAATCAGAATGGGATACAATTACATATTTACAACTGGGGAAAAAACAAGTGCAAGTATCTGATTATTTCTGATTAACAAAGGGTGCGTGCACACTGTAAAATTAATGCAGTTTGGCACCATTTAGCTGTAATGGCTCAATGGTATAGAATTAAGGGGGTTGTTGTTTTACAAGGCCTTTAGCCTTCTTTGCCAAATAGTGCCAGTGCCTCACCAAACAACAACTCCCGTGATTCAATAGTGTTATCGAAAACCAGACCCCAAAATGATGAACCCCAAATCTGCAGCCTCATGGATGAACTAAGGTGTCCATGTTGACCTCATTCATTGTTTTTAGAGGTATTTTCATTAAAAACCCCTGGAATGCCGCACAGTACACACCTCCGACCTCAAGGGATGGCAACGCCTTAGTTAACACAATCCCTTCACAATATCCCTGGGAATACATAAAGAACTCACATGGACTCACACAAGAGCCTCTAGGTCTTTTCCTGATATGATCTGGTTTGTATTTTCCTGATATGATCTGGTTTGTTTCTGGGAATGTTTCCTCCTCTCTTTCACCAAATCAGACCTCCCCTCCTGGGGTTCACATTGAAATTACCAACACTCTCCTGGGGCTCACATTGAAATTACCAACACCCTGAGTTTTTACCGACTGAAGCTGAGATATCAAATCCTACTCCAACCCATTATCTCCAGCCCCACCACATTCCTCTCCTGGGCAGATCACTAAATAGACATAAGTCTTCAAAATAATCCAATGACAGTTTATTAAATTTCCCACCACAACTGGAGCCAACCAGCAATGACAATGGACGCATCCCCAGACCAATCAGGAGCTAGCATTGCAATATGCCTTTGTTTTGAAGAACTATCAAATTGATATAAATATTTCTGTATGTTTGCATTGATGTATGCCAGTTCTTTGGAGCGCAGACCCCACTGACATCCCCTTTGGCGTCTGATTTTTCCTTCAACTCATCTGTGTCTCATTTGATCCTTTGGGAGCTAGGCACTCTGGGTCCCAAACCCACAATTTTAGCAGAGCTGAAATCACACAACAATAGCATTGAGCCATGGCAGTTCAAATGGTGCCTAACTGGATTAATAATACAGTGTACATACACTCTAACTATGCTCTGAATTGAAAGCCAAGCTACATCTAAGGCCTCATCTACACTGTCCATATAATGCAATTTCAAATTGGCAGTGTAGATGGAGCCATAGTTTGACACTTCCTTTTTCAGGGGTAAGGAGCAACAGGCCAAACCGTTGATGTTGAGTAATGGCACTTCCAGCCAACAGAGTGCCTCTTGCAGAAATGAAAGAAGCTGTATCTCAGTGCAGTTTGAGAGGAGTGTTCAAGAACAATGAGCCTCCTCCATTAGCTACAACAATGAGCAGTAGAAGATGATGAAATGCACTAGTGAGTAGAAGAAACTGTTTACACTTGCACAGATGTATATTCCACCTGGTCCCTAGCACGGCACCAACCAAATGCCTGATATATGGAATAATGAAAGTGGAGATATGCATTGCAAGTTGATGTAAAGTAAAATATATTAATTATATCTACAACATTTGTGCTGAGCTAAATACCAGCATTCAGTTGAATCCACATAGGCAGCCAGTTTCTGATTTTAATGCCATTATCTTTTAGGAAAAGCAGGGTGCAGAGAATACAATTTTGGGTTCTCCACCCAGCCATGAAAACCTTGTAGATTTTTGATTGGATGGGGGTTTTTTTCATTAACTTTGAATAACAAATATTTTTCCCCTCATTCTGATTCAGTTCCACTAGATCATCTGAATGGTTTTTAGAATTTTCTGGTTTTCTCACAAAGTTGTGGACCACTTCTACAATTCAACAACACACACTTTGAGAAGACAGGTGATAGCCATATATGAGAGATACATACAATGAAGTATGATCTTAGATAAAACAGTTTTTTCAGAGGATGTGGGTACTCCTTTAAAAGACCTGCACATAAGCTTTCCCAGTCAGGAAACAGGAGTTACAGAAAATACTTCCAAAATTGTAGAAAAATAATGCCTTGTTTACTGTAGATGCCCTTATGTTTTTGAAGAAGTGCTTAATGAATATTTGTTATGAAACAGCTGGATCCATCTTCTCCATCCAGTGGCTGAGGATGATCTGGCAGTACATCACAAAACATCAAACGTATGAGCTGGAATTTTGGTGTGTGTTCCCACATCTTCTGCTGCTACTGTAATGAGAAGAAAAGAACAAAAAAAAAAGCAAGTTTTAATTTAATTTAATCAGATCTCAAGACTTAAGAATTATATTCCATTTTTATAAATTCCGGGATTTTAGTTTTGTGAGGTACTAGAGCTTTCAGAATTAGAATTCTAGATGCCTTTCCCTAAACACCAAACTCCAGATTCCATAGGATGCAACTAAGGAAATGAACATGGAATCACAGTGCTATAAATATGTATTGTGAAATTTCCCCATGACTACTGGATGGGCAAGAAAAAATTGCCTTTCTTTCTATGCATATTGCTACTGTTGTTATCTGGATTTGGGCTCCCCATGGCTGCTTCAAGACATTTGTGTACATATCTGAACACTCACAGAAAGAGATACAAACAAAAAGCAGAAATACACATGGTGAACCATGGTCTGGAAAAGTAGCAATCCTGGAGCTTATATGTTCAAGAAAATATACATTAATCCATAAGGCTGCAGGTAAAGTACCTTGATAGTTGTTCCACATCCTCTATTGTCTCTGGTAGGGAGAGTCCCTTTGTCTCAGGTAAAAGTATGACTAGAATCCCAGACAAAACAGCCAATATACCTACAAGACAATAAAAGAGAAAACATGTAATGTGCTGTAAGCAATAAACATTAAAAAATTAGTGCTACATCTGAAAGTAGTTTGGAAGCAAGATAAACAGCTAGATAAAGACAAAATGAGCATGTTAAAGAACTGTGAGCTGGTACCATGAACCATTGCCACTTGTAATACATAACTATGTGTCATTAAGTTAAGACTCAAACATAGCAACATTAGATTTTCTAGAGTCTAATGGTGCTCCTGGACCAGTATCATACCATCAGCTGCTTCAGACAGAGATGGTACAGAGTAGAAAAAAGGGCATGGGAGATGACATTGAAATGTTCCTGGTCTCATAATCAATTCATCCTATATGTTTTCATAACCATATCAACCTAAACACCAGTGTACTCTGAACTGCCTGGACTGGTGGATGAAAGAGTGGCTTCTGGGTTTTTCTACCTCAGAGCTTAGAAACTTTGCTTTTTAATGCGAAAACCCAATGTTTACTTTCAGCTAGAGCATAGCCATTTGATCAGTTGGGAGTACATAAGTGTTAATTTGCCATTCATCAATTGATTCAATGATTCTACTATACAGAGGACTGGTAGTTTGTTTTGGACTTCAGATGACAACTAGAATAACTCCAATGGCTCTTTCATTCTAGGACCTTTCACCCAAAAGGAACTTTCCAGAGTATAGTATTATCAAATGGAAATGGAGAATGAATACATCTACTAATACATTTCCTGAAGTTAGTGTGGATGGCAACAGAAAATGGCCTTGAGGACTAGCTCTCTTTGCAGAAAACAAAAATATGCTGTTTTTATTCTGAAAAATGAGTTGAATAAACAAATGGGGCTAGGAATCAGTAAAAGCTTTCCAAAGTGAAAATGTTAATAGAGAATGGCAATTCTGCAAAAGTGACCACTTTTAAAATAACATCTTACAGTAGATTATTAGAGGAAGCTCCGACCAGATGTCTGATAGACGGTAGAGTAAAAAGGGGGCCACAATGCCCCCTATATCACACAGACCTGAACAGAGAGAGACACCAAAATTTCTGTAGGGAAAAGAAAGGAAAATATATTAATCAGATTGAATATTAGGGAATACCCTGGTTTTGTGCCCTGAAGCCCCCCACCAGTCTCCCAATGCCCCTCAACACCCCTACCCAAACTAAATAAACTTTCAGTTTAATTTTGGTTACTCTGTCCCAAAACAAGTAGATAGCACACCCCATACATGAGAATACATAAAAAACTATCCCTTCCACACAAGACCCCAGAACCCCATACCACACCCAACACTTCTGTTTTTCTTTACAGACCTTCAAATGGCTAGTCTTTGTGCCTCTACCTTGATCTATGCCATCTCTCACATTTTAAATGCTTTCAGATCCCACGCTTGATGAGATCTTGTCAGATATTTCAAAAAAGTTAATTCCACTTGCCTGAATACTGTGGGATACAGTTCAGAATTTACAAGATACACGAGTTCAAAGGTTATGGTGATTCCAAGTCTTGCTAAGATGGCTACTGATGTAGTTAACGATGGCATATCTGTTGAGACACATGCAAATAAAACATTAAAGTTATTCTTTTAACTATGGGATCCAATCATCAAGTTTGTGTTGCTGGTCCCATTTATTATGGCTCTCCCTGCTCTCTAACTTTATTTTCAGTGCAATTTCTTCACAGAAAAATGAGCCCCAGAAGGAGAAGGAAAAATTATATACATGATAAGTTCTTCCTAACTGAGTTCATAAGCATAAGATGTGGACACAAGAAAATGGAAATGTAATATTATATTCCTTACCCACTCTATTATTTACTGTTATCTAGCCTAGATCTAAAATAATGGGATTATGTTGCTACATTTTCCTAAAATGAATTAAATTGCAATCTCCAGATTGAAACATATTTTAGAAGAATTACTTACACTGACCTATAGGTAGCACTAAAACACTACTTTTTAACTTAGAGTTTCAAGGTTTAGGAATGGAGGGAATTTTTTAAAACCCAATTCTTCATAAGTATGTAAAAAAGTAAAATTGACCCAACTGGAATCATGGTCTTAATCCTTCAAAAAGATGGCCATTACTCTCTGCATAACCAGTTTTGTCTGATTTTGGACACTAAATAGAATCGGGCCTAGTTACTACAGTGATACCCTGAGTTAAATGTTTAATTCATTCCATGATCAAACTCTTAACTCAAATTGTTCTTATCTCAAAGGGAATTTTCCCATAGAAATGCTTTTAATTCTTCCTGGTCTCCCCGAACCCGCCCCCCCCCCAATATTTTTGTTATGTGTTTTTAGAGTTTATTTAAAGTTTATGTATATAAACTTTATACATTCACATGGAACAATGAAAAAGAAAGCTCAACTTTAATACGGTAGAAGCACAAAGTTGGAGTAAGGAAGCACATTTGAGGCAACAAAATGTGTGTTGACCAGTGTAACAGCAAGGCAGAACCTGCATGTTCAAATGCAACAATAAAAAAAGAAAGATAATATTTAAAATGGTAGAAGCACAAAGTTACAGCAAGGAAGCACAAAACACAAAATGAAGAGGCAGAAGTATCATTTTCTTCATACTGTACTCATTCCAGCCTTCCTCTCTCTCTTGCTCTCGTTCCCCCTCTCTCTTCATAAAGGCAAACATACCAGGAATAAAAACCACACAAATCAACTAACCCAAAGTTCCTCAAAGCAAACAAGAGCAAAGCAGACAGCAATCCCTGAAACCGGATAAGAGGACGATGCATGCAGGCATGAGGCACAGAGGCTGCTCCCTTGAAGCCCTGCACTCTGGCACTAGCGTTCCCTCTGGTGCTAACACTCCTTCTGGCACTAGCTCTTATCTCATATGTTCATATGTCAAAGCAAAACTTGGGCCAAGCAACAGATCTTAACTCAAAAAGCTCTTAAGTTGAGATTCCAGTGTATTTGAATGGAAGACAACTGGAGAAGGCTAAGGATTGCCAGAAAGGGCCATTCCTGCTAGTCATTGCTGAGCATATTGGACTAAATAGAGGGTTGGGCTACAGTCATTGTAGACTATGAATGTGGAAGACTGACTTTTAGCACCTATTGTGTTTGGATATGTTTGTCATCTTGGATCAGGATTGGCTCTTTTTTCCCTTTCTTGCTCCACATTTTACCTAGTATGTTTCCTATTATTATTATTATTATTATTATTATTATTATTTCAAATGCTAGATGGGCATCTGTTGCAGGTGCTTTGACTGTGCTTTTCCCACCTGGCCAAAGGGGGTTGGACTGGATGGCCTCTGGGGTCTTCCAGTGAAATAGTTAAAATTTTCTAAAAGTGGTAAATGTGTTCTACAGTTGTAGCAAGCTGATAGCTCTAATAATGAGGGAGGAAGGAGCTCCTGAAGTTTCTGCACTGGCACAATTACTTAAAGAAAAAGTAATTTAGTAATGAGTATTGAAACCTTTTCCATTGGTCACACAGGCCTATAATCTTTCCTAAGGTAATTTTTTGCAGAAAAAGCCATTTCACTACCTGTGATATATTAAGAACATCCTTATTATCTATCCTGGTGAAATTCCACAAGGATTTCCATAACTTGCTTTATTCAGCCTGAGCATAGATGAATCCATGTAACAAATTTACACTGTGGTCACTACTGAGCAACTACATAATATACATAAATGCATAATTTTTATCAGAAAATTAACATCGTAATGTTTACAGATCTCCAATTTTCACTTCTAAAACACCACCAAAATCTGCCTACAACCAAAACTGGTGATACAACTGGATTTGTTCAGAGACTTGCAATTCAAATAAGGCATTTCTTAGGCAATTCCAATAAAATGAAACAAGAGAACAGGGCCAAGTGGTATCCTGGAACAATTGATTACATGTGGACCCAGAAGGGAAGACAGCAAAACATCTACAATTTCTCATCTAAAATCACACATACATATCAGCCCTTCCTAGACAGTCCTTTCATAGGCCTTAGATAATAGGCTTATAATTGCTTACAGAGAGCTGTGAAACCTCAAACAGCGATTTGCTATGCAAACTAGACCATGTAATAGAGGGAAAAACACTGGAACCAGCTAATCCGTCATTGCAGAAGCCAATTCTGTTTCCGTATTTACTCTGACAATATTACTACAAGACCTATCTCACGCACAATTTTAGTAAATCTGTTGCTAGCAGTGATCATTACCAGCAGTGGTCTACTACATTCTTGTTTGTTGTTGTATGCCTTCAGGTCATTTCTGACTTATGGTGACCATAAGATGAACCCATCATGATGTTTTCTTGGGGAGGTTTGCTCAGAGGAGGTTTTTTTTTCATTTCCTTCCCCTCTAAGGCTGAGAGTTTGACTTGCCCGAGGTCATCCAAAGGGTTTCTATGGCTAAATGGGGATTCTAAACTCGAGTCTTCAGAAAAGAAGTCCTATATCCAAACATCCACACCACGCTGACTCTTCTACCAACTTCTACATAGTACAAAGATTTTAATCTGTGTAAATTTCAGTTTCAGTGAAGAGACACCTCAGCCTCCAAGAAAATGTTTGCCTCTACTTTACCAAAGAAATAGATTGCACAGAGTGTTCTTTAAATTACTATGGGAACAAAATGTTTGCAAAGTCACTGCAAGAAGGACATAGCCAACAGAGCAAATAAGAATTATAGTTCATAGTTCTTCTGTCACTTGCAATTACTCTCAAATCTCTGAAACCAATTCCTTACACAGTTAAGGGTTCTGACCCCCTTCTTGGTACTTGGCAAAGGCGCAAATAGGTTTCCTTAGAATGATTTACATTTGTTCAAACAATACTATCATCACCTTTAGAATGAATTGGCCTTTCATGTAAAAGATGGTATCTGTTTCATTGTTCAAGCAAGGAGAAGTTTTGCTAGAACAATGAAACTGATGGTGTTTTATTCACAATTCAACCGGCACATGCTTTTCCTACTCTTCTCTCCACAAGAACATAACACATTAGGCAAAAATGAGTTGGATCCTGACTGAAGCATGTGCACCTGGGCTGGGAGGCCAGGAATTTGCTACCCTTTATGCTTTGGCCAGCAGGACTGAAGTCCAACAGGTCGGTGGTTCGAATCCAGGGAGAGCGTGGATGAGCTCCCTCTGTCAGCTCCAGCTCCCCATGTGGAGACATGAGAGAAGCCTCCCATAACGATGATAAAACATCAAACATCTGGGCATCCCCTGAATGTCCCTGCAGACGGCCAATTCTCTCACACCAGAAGTGACTTGCAGTTTCTCAAGTCACTTCTGACATAAAAAAAAACCTTTGGCATCCTCTCTAGCCCCCCAAACCTAGCAGGCCAGAGAACCCTTCTGAATGAGCTACAAGCTAGGTTGAGCAACATGTGCCCATGGTAGGCAGATCTTGGCTCAGCCCAAGTGTTACTGAATATTATTTTACAAATTATTTGGCCAATTGTAAGCTGCTCTGAGCTCCCCTTTGGGGGTGAGAAGGGCGGGATATAAATGTCCTAAATAAATAAATAAATAAATTTGTAACTTTCCCATCCTGTAACTTTTTTAAACCAAGTGTGCAGTCACATTGGGGTCATATGGCCAGGAAAAAAAACATTGTACATGATAGGTTTTTTTCCTTTTCAGCTGACATTAATCTTGCCTTAGTTTACCTCTCGATGCCAAAATACTGACCCCATGGCCAAAACAAAGTTCAGAAATAAATTTAAGAGTCTCTTTTGTATTTCACTGACCTCAGTGAACCTTTCCGTGATGATGTCAGTTCAGGGCCACCTGACAGGTGCTGTCAAGTCATGCATTCATTCCATGCAGGGCGCTGACAAGTTAGTGATGGAAGATTAATGATAAACAGCCTATTACCTTACTTTATACTCCAGGGTTTCTACAACATTAAGCGATTTATAGGCAAGGGATTCAGATGAGTGGAATCTGAATCCAAAAAAAACCCTGATCTAACAATTTTGTTAAATGCTGTGGCCAGCATTTACCTCTTCCCTATGTTACAATGCATCATAGTACTATAGCCATTTGAGGATCTGTCCCTAAAATTCTTGCTTATACATTAAATAAGAACAGTGAGACACATAACTTGTGATGGTTTCCAACTACTGAACTCCCTACCTCTTCGGTCTGCCATTATTTTCAGGAATTAATGCAAGATCTTATTTCAGCAAGCTTCCAAGGACAGTTGGGGATGTTTTGCCTGTTTCAAAAATATGTATGTATTTAAATGTTTTACCTTGGAAAGCATTCATACAAACAAAAAGCAGTGAAAGGGGGAAGATTACCTTTGGGTAAGAATGCAGTAATTAAGCACGCAATCCCGGCCACAATTGCACTTGAGACAAAGAGGGGGCGCCGCCCAATGCGGTCAATTGTCAATAGGATTAAAAAAGCTGCTGGCAACTCCATCAGTGCCGAGATGAAAAATTCCAAATAGAGATTTCCTTTTATGATCCCCAGGCGCAAGACAAGGCCTTGATAAACCACTGCGCTTGTGAACCTTCAAAAAAGCAAGAGAAAACCAAGACAATACATAGATTTGAAAACATTTTGGTTTGTACAAGAAAGATTGAATAAAGAAGCTATAGAGGTAACATGGTTGGAGCTTACCAGGCATACATTAGGATTAGAGTGATTTTTCTCATCTGTGGTGTTCTAACCAGATCGAAAAGAGACGGATTACTAACTTCATTGTCAGAGACTGTAATCTGAGTAAAAGAAACAGAGATCAATAAAAACTGATCATACAAATAAAAATATCAGTAAAGAAATGTGTGCAAACAATGGTGCCCAAAGGTTTCAAAATACTGATAAATGAAGGAACTATTATATTAATAACAACAGGGTTGAACTTTTTATTTGTGTGTATTTCTGTTAAGTTTGTGCATTTGGGGTAAACCTTGAACTGTTTTGTGTTCTGGCTTTTGGTGTGGGCCCCGATCTGTTTTTTTGGGAGCCTCCCGAAATCGGGAGGGCAGGTATCTGTTTTCACTCTGGGATGCCAAAAGATCGGTTTTCTATCAACTCATTATGGGGGGGGGGGGTCCCCAGACTCCCCATTATTCTAGGCATTTAAGCTGTTTTACTCTAGAGGAGAGGTGCTCAGCTGCAGGCAGGCACACGCTTTAGGGAGGCTTCTTACCCATATCTACTCTAGAGAATAGTCACTCAGCTCCTGGCAGGTGTGTACACTTTCTCTCCTGGACCTGCATACCATACACACACTCTTTTCAAGGCAAGGAGGCAAGTTCTGTTTCTTACTCTAGAGGAGGCATTTGGTTGCAGCCACGTGTGCTTTCTGGGCCTGCATGCCACACACACACACTCTTTCCAAGGCAAGGAGGCATGGATCGCCAAGTGCTCACAAAAAGCAGACAAGGAGCTGGGATCAGGTCTGGCTTGCTTTCGTGTTGAGCTGATTTTAATACTGGGGGAAGCCTTCCCATTATGTGCTCCCAAAGTTAACATAATTGACAAAATAACGGATGGTCAACCTAAGTCTGAAATGACCTGAAAGCACACAACAACAACAACAACAACAACAACAACAACAATCCTATCTCATCAACCAAAAGCAGGCCCACACTTCCCATTGAAATACTAATATGTTTATATTTGCTAACATTGTTCTTCATTTTAATTATTGTTTTGTTTTTAAGTGTTTTTTGCAGTACAAATAAGATATGTGCAATGTGTATAGGAATTCATTCATGCTTTTTTCAAATTATAATCCGTTTAAGGGACTGCAACCTGGCCCTCTATTTAAAAAGTTTGAGGACCCCTGATCTAGAATGTGGAAGAGGCAACAAGGGGATCAGCTATTTTAGATCCTAACCAACAGTGATCACCTGGTAAATGGGATGGATGTAGTGGGTTCTCTAGATGGGAGTTTGTTATTCAGCAGAAAGGGGAAGTCGAGCATAGTCAAATGCACACTAACTTCAGCAAACTTAAGGAAAAACTGAGCATATTCTAAATTATAATGTAATGACCATGACAGAAATCAATGTGATGAATACAACTAGTCAGTTACACAATGTTTAAGGCCACTCACACTTTGCCATTATGATTGGTCCATCACTAGCGAGGAACTGAATGCCCACCTAAGAGTTACAAGGTAACAGATTTTCTCAAACTCCCAGCTTCATTTTGGAAACGAGAGCTACAAGATGTGGGAAGAAACCTTGCTGGGAGCACAGCATGTCAAAGCACTTGAGCCTTCCTTTTTGGTACATTCCCAGGAGCAGGATGCTCTCTCCTGGGCGCAGAGCCAATTACCACAGGACTTATGCATCCCAAAAGACCCTGGAACAGATCCCAAAAGCAGATGAGAAGCCACATATATTATTGAAGGCCAACCAATTGCAGATGTGAAGAAATTAGACTTTTTGCTATTAAAATTGTGGCTACAGAATGGTGTGAGCAAAGCAATACAAGTCCAATATCGAATACTCTCAAAAGACCGCATTGCTAAACAAATGGAAGAATCTGAACAGATGGACAGTCTACAGCCAGTAACACATTCCCTCACTCACAGACTTGAATTTGATCTTATGGGAATGCATCTTTCAATGAGTTTTCTTTTAACACCATTTTAATTACGGTATATGGAGGTGCACTGAATACTCATATTGAGCATCAGCTGATGTGTAGCTATTTGTGTTTCTTGCACAAGCTTGGGTAAACTGTTATCTAAGGAGGTGTGTGGTTATGGTTTCAGTGGTGAACTATGACACTGAAAACCAGACTCTGAATTTTCAATTGGCCATGGAAACCCATGGGGTGATCATGGGCAAGTCAACTCTCTAAGCCTGAGAGGGAGGCAATGGCAAATTGGCTCTGAATAAATTATGCAAGGATAACCCAATGGATAGGGTCATCATAGGGTCACCTCAGGTCGGAAATGACTTCAAGGCACACAACAATATGCTAATTATGCTTAAACTACCAAAATGACAGCATGCAGACTGCTGGCCTTAGTTTGGGGACCCCTGCTTTAGGGTATTATGTGCTGGAAAACACGAAGATTTGTATATGGTGCTTCAAACTATATTGAAATACCCAAGAATTATCTTTAAAATGATTTGTAAATATAAAAAGAGAAGAGAAAAATGCATTAGCTTAGTTAATATGTAAGCTTAAAATGGTAAATATCTGCCATGAGAAGATCATGTCTTTCCTATTATAAATTTAATGCAAATCATCTTCTTGGAATGGTGTTTCCTGTGGGAGGGATGTTTCCATTGGTGCCATAAAGACTTCTATCCAAATACAAATAGCAGCTTTAAGAGTGTGATTGTCACTCTCTTAATCCTTAATAAGATCAGAGCTCTCTGTAGCTGCTATATATATATATATATAAATCTACCTTGATTCTATTTGCCCAATTAACATAATCCCCAGTTTGCCCTTGCTCAACCTGTTCTTCTTTTTGATAATGCACTAAGCATTTTCTGAGAAGCTGTGAGTATTTCTGAATTTTGCACCCAATATTGCTTGGGTGACTGAATTTTGTATCATTCACTGCTGGAATGACAGGTACAGGATTCAATTCTTTCTGTTCATTTGTCCCAAAGACACAATATATGTGAATTTGTTTTTTAAATGGTTGTAATGGGGTTTTTTTTACTCTTGTACACAATGAATGTTTAACTATGTCTGTTTTAACTGTGGCAAGTCACCTTGAGTCCCAAACTGAGGAGAAGGTGAATATAAACATGGTGATAGTGATTGTGAAACAGCAGATTTGTGATTTAACACCTTAACACCCTTTCCCTGCAATGTTTTATTAAAATGCTGAAATCATGTTGGATTGTTGTTCTACTACATAGTACTTACCAACATGGAATAGTCAATTCTATCTTATTCCCATGTCTGTCTCCATACAGACCAGGCTGTGGTGCAGCTAGTTAGTAGCCATCTGCATTAAATCACCACTGACCAAGAGGTCATGAGTTTGAAGACAGCCCGGATCAGAGTGAGCTCCCAACCATTAATAGTCTAGCTTGCTGTTGACCTATACAGCTCAAAAGACAGTTGCATCTGTCAAGTAGGAAATTTAGGCACCGGTTTATGCAGAGAGACTAATTTAACTAATTTACGACATCATAAAATCTTCCAGCAGTGTGTGTAAAAATGAGGAAGTACTCCATCAAGGACTCAGTGTCACAAGTGCATGGTGAAGTGGCAGCTCCCCCTATGGCTGGAATCGAGCATAACCTCATGAAGCCAGAAAGCTGGAATGTTAAATTGCCTCTGTGTCTGTCTATGTTGCATCCCAGTTCAAGAAACAAGACCATAAGATTAAATCCACCACTCTGGACTGTAGGAAAAGCAATCCTTGTTTACTGATGAAAAATTGGTTACAAAAGAAAGGTAAATGCAGAGTAAAAAAGCCACAGAAAAACACAGTAGTCAATGGGATCTCTGAACTTGAGCAAAACTTCAAAAGCCACAAAACAATAACCAGGAGTCTGTTAGCCTTTTACTAACCATGAACTTGGAAACTAGAAGCCTCTGGGATTACTGGCCATGGAACACAGGAATTCTGCCAAGACCAGCCACAGTCCCGAACGTTGCTTGACCTAAAGAAGCACCCGGCAGGGATGCTCTTAAACCAAAGAAGCTATTCTTAGAAACGCCCCTTGACTTTTCTGTTTGGGCCTCTTTCTGCTGAAGGCGCTGTGACCTTCGTACAGACTGGGAAACAAATCTATCTCTGACTATCTGTTCTCTCCGGACCTCATTATCAAGCCCAGGTGGGGAGATATCACGGCTAACTTCCAAAACATTCTCTTCTAACTGTTGGGTTTCATTTTCATTCCCACTGACCTCTGCATCAACAACAGATTCCACACTGTCAGAGTCAGGGAGAGCTTGCTCAGTTTGAAAAACTATCAGAGAATCCTGTTCACACAGATCAGGATCAGGCTGAACCCCAACAGTCTATATATGTTATATGTCTAATGGTATTGACTGTTTACCATGTATATGTGCATTGTAATCTGCCCTAAGTCCCCTGTGGAGTGAGAAAGGTGGAATATAAATACTGTAAATAAATAAATAAATAAATAAATAAATAAATAAATAAATAAATATTGTTTGTGGGCATGAATCACATCGTAGTCCTTTTAAATTTCAGAAAAATTCTGGAAACAAAATGCACACCACTTAAATCAATTTTTACTTATTTTGTTTAGTCATATTTTTGTCCCTGTCTAAAAATTTCTGACAAAATAAAACATTTTTGGTTTGTTTCACGTAAAAAAAAGTTCTTATTTTTAAAGCCTTCTCTGATTAATCCAACCCTCTATTTCTTGGATTACATAAAGAAGCTATGTTAATTTGTATATCGACTATAATTCATGTAGTGTTAATGCATATTGTTTTGATTTTTTTGATCTGTGCAATATATATATGTGTGTGTGTGTGTGTGTGTAAGTAAATAAATAAGTAAGCACATTTCAAAAGTAGACAGACATTAAAAACAAAAAATAAATAAAGAATACATATAATCCGTACCTCAGAAAAATGTGGTGGAAAGGATTTCCCATTGTCTTTGGCAATGGATTGCATAACCTTAAAGGCTTTTTCTCCTTCTTTGCGAGTTAGTAGCCACCGTGGAGATTCAGGTATCAGCCTGCCAAAGGACAGAGGTCAGTGAGGTTGCATTAAGAAACCAAAGAGATGTATTGTCTGTGTGACTTGAAAGAGGCTAATTGACATATATTGTGAGATTGTTCTGCTTTCCATATTTCTCTTGGCAAGATTCTTCCTCCTGAATCCCCCTGCGCATTTATTTTGCTGATAGAAACAAGTATCTTAGGAAACTTTGCAAGCAAAGTTGGAGTGGATAAAGTAAAACGCAATATAACTGAACCATGTAATAGCAATGAACTGTAAGAGTAACATAAACAAATAAGTTAATTCTACAAAAAACTGCCCCAAATTTGGAAGCAATACTTTATGAATCAGCTGGAAATTCTAATTTATTGAATTCATTCTTTCCCTTACACTAACACAGCTTACACAGTTAACCTTCTAGGTGCTCATCTTCTATGTCACGAGCAGTTATCCATGGTGTCTTTCAGGGCTTTTGATAAATTTGTCACAGATGATGATTTTTTATCTAGTTTGATTTTTTTGTCAGGAGCAGGGTTTGTCTTATCAGGCTGACATTTTGGTGTCTCCATATCAAATGAAATATTCAAGTCAATCTCACCATTGTGTGCTGGCCAATGGAGCTTTGGCTTTAGCAATTCAGCAGGGCTTTCAGTGACAAGCCGAATATTTTCAATATTTCTTATCAACAGCTGCATTGGCTAGGATGGCTAGGCTTTAGGGTCCAACAACACCACACCAATCTTATTGGATGACTGCAAGTTAATCAATAAATCTGGAAACTCTCTTTTCAGATAATATTCTAACTTTTCAGATAATATTCTAACATCTTATCTACATCACTGCTGCTTTAAAGGGGCTACTACTCACCATCAGTTGATGGGAATTACAATCACAAATATCTGTACAGCCATATATTTCTTTCTCCTGTTTATACCAGAAAAAATTCTCTTAAAGGATACCAAATAAGACTAATAATTATCCTGAAGATAACAGAAGAAAACAGCAACAAAATTACCAATAATACAGCAGGAAAAGGAAGTTGGGGAGCGTTGTAATTAGCTGAATCCACCTCCATGTTGGAATTAAATAAGCAATTCCAGGAAGGATGATAACTCCAAAGGTGAAGAAGACCTGGATTATAATCCCAACAATCCTCCGCTCTTCTGAGCCAACTATCTCTGTCACTGAATTGATAAAAAAGACAAATAGAAAAAAACTTAGAAAAAGCAAACAATTCCTTATTAAAGAATCTGAATGGGATTATAGGAGGTTACTGCTATGTTTCATATGGCAGGTTTTTGCTTTGATCTTAATTTGGAGAGTGAGGATGGTAAACAGAAGTGGATAGGAAAAAAATGGGCCACAAATATTTGATGCTTTAAATCTATGGCCTCAACCAAAAAATATGATAAAATATTCTGCTAATTCATTGCATACACACTCTGTACAGTAAAACTAATCTTAAAATGTTAACCTTGCTGAGAAATGACTGTGACAGTGGTTAGTGAGACTACTCCAGCCAAATTAATGCTGTGCACAATCAGTGTCAACAACTATTCAGGCCTGGTTTCATCTGAGGTCAGTGAGAGAGAATGTGCTAGGTTAAATAAACACACCAATTTTGTCTTTAAAATAAACTACAGTGAGTAAAGTTCTACTTCTGACTCAATGCTGTATTTACATATGTCTGCCTATGTTCTTGGAATACATTCACTGAATACATTTATTCTAAAAATATGAACCAAAGGTTTAGAATAAATAAAGTGAAATGTCTTCACAGAAGCTCTGAATCATATGAGATCATCTTGTGACCTTCTGAGATGAACACAACCCAGGAGACAAGTTTGGCTGTTTCCCAGATATCAATAAATGGACTGTTCTTATAGTTCCAGGAGTTGGGGGAAGGGGTCAGGAATTTGTTCGGCATCCACATTTCCACACATAGATCATGTGCTTATCAGGTCAAACCTTTCCCCTGTATTCATCTATGCCACTGCTTCTTAAACTGTGGGTCCCTTTTGCTCAGTGTTTTTCAACCTTCCTAATGCTGCGATCCCTTAATACAGTTCCTCATGTTGTGCTGACCCCCAACCATAACATTATTTTTGTTGCTACTTCATAGCTGTAATTTTGGTACTTGTAAGATGGGACTCCCAGGTCGGAAGATGGCCAAAATGCTACTGGGGAGGAGCAGAGGTTAAGTTCAACTAGCCCCAGATGTGATGACGCAGCTAGCTCAAAGCCGAAAGGAAGGCTAGCGGCCGACGGTACTGGAGGTGAACGACGAATCCGATGCTCTAAAGATCAACACACCATAGGAACCTGGAATGTGAAGATCTATGAGCCAGGGCAAATTGGATGTTGTTATTGGTGAGATGTCAAGACTAAAGATAGACATTCTGGGGGTCAGCGAACTGAAATGGACTGGAATGGGCCACTTCACATCAGATGACCACCAGATCTACTACTGCGGACAAGAGGAACATCGAAGAAATGGAGTAGCCTTCATAATTAATCAGAAATTAAATTCGCTAAAGCGGTGCTTGGATACAACCCAAAAAATGACAGAATGATCTCAATTCGAGTGCAAGGAAAGCCTTTCAACATTACAGTGATCCAAATATACGCCCCAACCACAGCTGCTGAAGAAGCAGAAGTAGATCAGTTCTATGAGGATCTGCAGGACCTACTGGATAATACACCAAAAAGAGACATTATTTTCATTACAGGAGACTGGAATGCCAAGGTGGGAAGTCAAATGACAACAGCGATCACAGGCAAGCATGGTCTGGGAGAACAAAATGAAGCGGGACGCAGGCTGATAGAATTTTGCCAGGAAAACTCGCTGTGTATAACGAATACTCTCTTCCAACAACCTAAAAGACGGCTTTATACATGGACCTCACCAGATGGTCAACACCGAAATCAGATTGACTACATCCTTTGCAGCCAAAGGTGGCGAACATCCATCCAGTCGGTGAAAACAAGACCTGGGGCTGACTGTAGCTCAGATCACGAACTTCTTATTGCTCAATTTAGAATAAAACTAAAGAGATCAGGGAAAATACACAGACCAGTTAGATATGATCTCACTAACATTCCTAGCGAATATACAGTGGAAGTGAAGAACAGATTTGAAGGACTAGATTTAGTAAACAGAGTCCCAGAAGAACTATGGACAGAAGTCCGCATTGTTCAGGAGGCGGCAACAAAGTACATCCAAAGAAAAAGAAAACCAAGAAGGCAAAATGGTTGTCTGCTGAGACACTGGAAGTAGCCCAAGAAAGGAGGAAAGCAAAAGGAAACAGGGATGATAAGGGGAGATATGCCCAGTTAAATGCGCAATTCCAGAGGTTAGCCAGAAGAGATAAGGAACTATTTTTAAATAAGCAATGCATGGAAGTGGAAGAAGACAACAGAATAGGAAGGACAAGAGACCTCTTCCAGAAAATTAGAAACATTGGAGGTAAATTTCAGGCAAAAATTGGTATGATAAGAAACAAAGATGTCAGGGACCTAACAGAAGCTGAAGAGATCAAGAGAAGGTGGCGAGACTATACAGAAGATCTGTATAGGAAGGATAATAATATTGAGGATAGTTTTGACGGTGTGGTGAATGAATTAGAACCAGACATCCTGAGGAGTGAGGTGGAAGGGGCCTTAAGAAGCATTGCTAACAACAAGGCAGCAGGAGACGACGGGATCCCAGCTGAACTGTTTAAAATCTTAAAAGATGATGCTGTCAAGGTGATGCATGCCATATGCCAGCAAATATGGAAAACACAAGAATGGCCATCAGACTGGAAAAAATCAACTTATATCACCATACCAAAAAAGGGAAATGCGAAAGACTGCTCAAACTTCCGTACAGTGGCCCTTATTTCTCATGCCAGTAAGGTAATGCTCAAGATCCTGCAAGGAAGACTCCAGCAATACATGGAGCGAGAGTTGCCAGATCTTCAAGCTGGGTTTAGAAAAGGTAGAGGAACGAGAGACCAAATTGCCAATATCCGCTGGATAATGGAGAAAGGCAGGGAGTTTCAGAAAAACATCTACTTCTGCTTCATTGACTATTCTAAAGCCTTTGACTGTGTGGATCATAATAAATTGGCAAGTTCTTGGTGGGATGGGCATCCCAAGCCACCTTGTCTCTCTCCTGAGGAATCTGTCCAAGGACCAAGTAGCAACAGTCAGAACTGACCACGGAACAACAGACTGGTTCAAGATTGGGAAAGGCGTACGGCAAGGCTGCATCCTCTCACCCAACCTTTTTAACTTGTATGCAGAACACATCATGCGATGTGCGGGGCTGGATGAA